TAGCCCTCGGGACAGGCCCAAATATATGGGTTTTGAGGGGTTATGGGCTACCAGAACTTTAGCGCCTCATAAGCGCCCTGATAAGTCCCAGTTAGCGAGGGCTGAACAGGCGTCTACTGACCCTTTGAGGGAGCGCTATGGGATTTCGAACACACTAACCTACCCACAACATGGTCGAAGCGTGGATGGACACTGGGAGGACACTGGGAAGAATGTGTCAAGTATTTTGTGGGTTATTGATGAGCAAAATCTCAGTGTGCCCACTATTACCGTATGGGTTTTGAGCCCTAGAAGGCTATGGGTTATGGGGTATTGGGGACCTATGGGTTATGGGGTCGAATTCCCCCTATCCCGACTTGGGAAAGCCAAAATCCTATGGGTTTTCGGAGTTTATGGGTTGCCAGAGGTATGGGTTAGGAGGGTGTCGACTGTACTCGTCTTATGGCGATATCCCTGATCACGAACAGTGCGTAGACAACCACAGCGGGCGCGGCAGCGGTCATAGTCCACTGCGCACCATAGGTACTTCAGGGGCAAAGCGCACATGCACGACTGTACGAACATCACTGCTGCGCGCAGATTCTTGCACATGCCCATGGAGTGCAGTTCGATGAACCGGCGTCGACTCCCCGAGGCGGAGAGAGAGTCCTTATCTACTTAGGAGTTCGACATCGTTGGTTATCTACGTCCTTTCGCCCTTGCTTTCCATCTAGCTCGGCGCCGCCATGGGATCTGCACCATTCAAGGCCACTCAGCCTGCACCCGAAGCCGAGTCGCATCTCTCCGAGAAGACCCTCCTCCAGTCCTTCTCCGACGTCCGCATCTCCGTCCCGCTTTCGAAGGATGGTGCGCTCCGGTTGGACCATGTCGACCGCTGGGAGAGCGCGGTCGCACAGTCGCCCAAGCTCAAGCTCTCGCGCTCGATCTTGAGCCATTCTAACCTCGACGAAACTCTCCTTAGGCGCGAGGCGGTCATCGCAACCCCGCACGTCTTCAATCTCGAGCTCGACTTCAAGACGGGCCCGATCACGGACCAGAAGGACACGGGCCGCTGCTGGGTGTTCGCGTCGACCAACGTGTTGCGGTACAATGTGCAGAAGAAGCTGAACTTGGAGGAGCTCCAGCTCTCTCAGGTGCGTTCCGTCTATCGTTGACCGTTCGCCAGAAGCCCGAGTCTCCCGTGGTCGTACATACGGAGGGCGGCGTTGCAGGCGGGCGTGCGAATGGGCGTGAGGCATCTCGGCTCAACACAGCGGCGTGCTAACTTGGATATCTGTATCTGCAGTCGTACCTGTTCTTCTGGGACAAACTGAACAAGGCCAATTACTACCTCGAGCTCTCGATTGAGCTCGCAGAACTGCCTGTCGATGCCCGCCTCATCCAGTACCTCGCCAAGTCGCTCATCAGTGATGGCGGCCAGTGGGACATGGCCGTCAACCTCTTCGAAGTGCGTTCCGTCTCCCTTACTCCTTGGTTACTACCGCATACGCCGCCATCTCGCTCCCCGTTCCTTCATTAACCATAAACGGGCATAATCTCACGCGTACACAGACCTACGGCGTCGTCCCGCAACCTATCTATCCCGAGTCCATCCACTCCTCCCTCTCCCGCCCCCTCAACATAATCCTTAAGACAAAGCTCCGCGAGCACGCACTAATCCCGCCCTCTCCGACGCGGCAATCCTCGTGAAGCTCCGCGCGAAGAAGGAAGAACTTCTGAAGGAGGTGTATGTCGTGTTAAGCGCGACGTTGGGCGTGGCGCCGAAGCCGGACGAGGCGTTCACGTGGGACTACTACGATAAGAGCGGGAAGGCCGGCTCGTGGACGGGTACCCCGAAGGAGTTCTACAAGGCATTCGCGTATGATAACTACCCGGTGAGTCACGAGCGCAAAATACATAGAAGAAGGCGTAGAACGCTCGACAAAGAAAGATAGCTGATCCGACGTGTGCTCACCATATAGCCGGCGGAGTCGTTCTCGCTCATCCACGACCCGCGGAACGAGTATGGCAAGCTCTACACGATCAACAAACTCGGGAACATCTGGCGCGCCCGCCCAGTGCTCTGTAAGTCCCAATCCTCTTCGGGCTCTGACGCATGACGAATCCCCTTAATATATGGAAATGAAACAATCTGACGATCGGGCTCGCAGACGTTAATACGCAGATCGACAACCTCAAGCAAGCCGTCGTGCGTCAGATCAAAGCCGGCCACCCCGTCTTCTTCGGCTGCGACGTGGGCAAGTTCTCGAACGACCCGCTCGGGATCATGGACCAAGAGTTGTTCGAGTACGAGGCCGCGTTCGACATCACATTCGGGCTCTCCAAAGCGGACCGACTGCGCACACTGGAGTCGCAGATGACGCACGCGATGGTCATTTCGGGGGTGCACTTGGACAAGGAGGGGAACCCGGTGCGGTACAAGGTCGAGAACTCGTGGGGGCCAAATGAGGGCAACAAGGGGTACTTCGTGATGAGCGACCGGTGGTTTGAGGAGTGGGTGTACCAGGTGGTTATCCCGAAGTAGCTTGCGCCGAAGGATCTGGTGAAGGTGTTTGAGGGCGAGGAGAGGGTTGTGCTCCCTGCGTGGGACCCTATGGTGAGTGCGCGTTCTCAATGGATTAGCGGTCCACTGACAGGTGAGCGGATAATAGGGCGCCTTGGCGTAAGGGTGTACGTATCATACAGGGACACTGGCGTATCAGTATGTGTACAGTAACTCTGCGTGTGTGCGTGGCGTATAGTTGGATCATACGGCGTGCGTCCGTGAAATCTCGACATCTGCGTCCTGGGTGTCGTTCAGTGGCTGTTCTGGACAGTCTGGGGTACCGCCGTACTGACCCTGATCTTCGTAGGTTCGGTAGTCTTCATCTTCTAGCGAGGAAATGTATACAGGGTCAAACTCAAGGCTGGTAAGGGGACCATGTCGACGCTTGGAGATATCGGGCACCCACCGCCGTCGAACGCCGTTTTTCGTCGTTCGCTGCCGGTTGATCTCTATCCAGTGCTCATAAGTATTGGAGGCCTTTGGCAGGACGCTTCACTTCCCTAACTTGTGACCGACCTCTTTGTGCCGTGCCATATTACTCCAAAACTTTGGGAGAATAAACAACAAAGGTTAATCTCAGACGGTAATCCTTCAAGGTATGAGTCAAGTGGCGTTGGTTCGTTATTCAATCCTTGTACAGCAAGAACACAGCGGACTCCCTCGCTATTCTCCCGTTGTTGGGGGCTTTGTTACGATGCTTGGCTATCCCCCACTGACATAGAGCTCCCAGACACCTCCACAGACAACATAGCGGATACCCCGGCCAAGACCCGTCAGGAACCTGGTGCTACTCGATACACTCCTGACTCCGGCTGAAGGCCAGAGGGTTGGTTTGGAATGCGAGCGGAACCTAAACGTGTCCATTTTCCCGCCCGCTTGTCTGGGGTAAAGGGATGGCCACGGCTGGCGCCCTCCGGAAAGCGACTTTGAGCTGCGCCTAGGTGTCAGGCTCATCCTGGGGACAGAGCGGAAAGGGAGAGATTCACCTCGCGAGCTCTCCTAGGCGCTGCCGTGACGTCTCACGGTCCAGGCCCTATGCCTTGGTTCCCTGAGGAATGCCTTTCTCGAGGACGCCGAGGACGCTTCCTCCTTGCTAAAACCTGGAGTCGCTGAAGGTTCACATATATGGCGCCGTGCATGCCGTTTCCCCGCCAAACAGACTCTCTGCAAGAGGCGAACTATAGTCAATACATGTCAAGCTGGATATGAAGCAATCAAGTCCGCACCTAAGGTTTCTCTCCAACTACCGGCCAGCCCAACGCTCGGTGAATAGGGTTCGACCGTTGGTAGGTGGGACGATTATTTCAATGAACCGAAGCGGGGGACCGGGCATCGATGACGATGTCGCGAGAGATTGTCGTGTTGAAGAAGGTGAAGGCGAGATCGAGGGCGGACGGGGATAGGCGTTCGTGGCGGGGACTACCGACACGAACGCCTACCCCCGAACATGCGTCGAAGCGGGAGGATGGGTTGGATAGAGTGGGGACAGAAACATTGAAGGCGAGGGCTAGTGCTTGTAGGCCGCTAGGTTGAAGAGAAGGTGTGGTGCGTATGTAGAGGCTTGTTGGTGGTCGGTTGCGCGGGTAACGCAGTTGGCTGGGAGACTTGGAGATGATGTTGAAATTGCAAAGAGAACTGGTCGCCCTGCACTGCGCTTAATACTTATGCTCAAGGAGGCTGGATGCCTGCTTTTCGGCTCATAGTGAAAGCCAATCACCACTTGAGGTTATTTATATGTCGCTGATCGTGTGCTGAACCGGGCTTCACGGAGCCTAGGCTTTAAGGTGTGATACATATGGTCTTCACATGTGGCTGGCTGACTGCCAGTGACTGGCGGTGTGACATGCAGGAGCTATTGCTAGCCTCCTCCCCGAGGAAGCGAGATCGAGTGGCTTTGCCGTGCTTCGAGGCTTGTCTAGACCGGTCAACCTGCTCGATCATCACCTGCCTGCGTTATTCTACAACGACGTTTGAACTAGCCACGCAAGACATCGGCTTTGAGCTATCGTGCTCACCTCCCTGCTTATGTTCTAATCGCGTAGACAGTACCAGTTCCTGCGATGCCCCTACAAGGAGATATTGAAGTGATATTCGAGCGATCGAGTAGAGGTATACAGAGACCCATTCAATGCATGATGCCTCATAGTAGGTATGAATTGGATACATGAACACGATAACGATGCTTGTCCTATCTCTTTACTGCTAGTGCATCTACGTTGCCAGCTCCGCCAGGGATAGAAAGCCCAAGAGACGACCATGAGCCCACGGGGGTGCAGGACGGTGAGTGTTTCGATTTTGGTTTGTACGTCGGCAGGCACTGGGCGTGGATTGCGTAAAGGATGTGTCATGGAGAGTCAGTAAAAAGAGGCCAGAGATAATCTTCAATGACTAGCCTACCTAGTCTTCGAGATCGCAAGTACGGGAGGACACATGCCGTCGCCCACGTAGTCCGGAGGGGCCGACTACACAAGGGGGAGCCACCGCCCAAGTTCGTCAGTCCCTCCCTGACATACACCCTCAGGCTCCGGTGGCTCGGAAGACCTGACGGCAGCATGCCAGCGACTACGAAAGGCGACCTTGGTGGCGACTGTATCACTTGCGGTGACCGGTAGATGGTTGTTGTGTGCGCAGACTCCACGCCTAAGGGGCGATCGACAGAAACAGGATCAGGATATAGAAAGATGGGACAAGGCGATGGTCGGACACTTACTGGGCTGATCTCCTTGATCATTATGATGCGTTTGGCTTTATCCCCACCCACCCCGCTTATGACACGTAGTCATCGGAAGGGCGGTGGTATGCTCGTCTGGGTTGCTGAGCGGAACCAACAAGGGCAATGATCTATGCTGGCAAACGCCAGAAGACCGGCATCAGTGCCTTGCCCAGAATGAGAGGACGTGTAAGAATGAAAGACATACCTATTGACCATAGCGTCGGCAAGAGTTGAATGAGACCCCAGGAGCAATCCATCTGTGTCTATTGATCATACCACTGGAGATATGGTGCATTGAGTAGACGGGATAGAACGGGATGTAGGGAAGATGGCGGTAGGTGGTCAGAAGGAATCGCCGCAAGATGAAGCATTATAAACTACACCAAGGGTAGGCTGACAAGGTTTTTCGAGGGCTGACATCTGAGCTTCCGAGCTTACCTTCACAGCTGTTGAATTGTCAGCCGTGTGACGCAAGTCTCGGCAGTGTCCACGGTCCGACACAAGGCAGGTTTGGTGGTTTGTCTGCGATGTGTCTTGGAGAGACAAATTGAGCCGGTTCACTTTCTTCTGGGCTGCTTCTCAGATGTGTCCGTAGGTTCCGAGTGCTCGTTGCTACTTCTGCCTATCTCACTGATCATGAGAATCGTAACTGTAGGCATCATGAGATATGCATACGGTTCTCCCAAGTTGCCCGACTTTACGTGGAATAGAGTAAACCGGGCCGGTGGGGCCTGCGGAGAGTATCAGCAATCATGAGAAACACAGACAAGATCTGGCCCTCTGGAAGGGGATATCATGGAAATGGGGAAGAGAACAGAGTGAAGGGCGGGCGCTGTATCGCGTCTAGGTGCTAGGGACGTATCTGAAACTGGGCCGCAACTGAGGTACTGCGGTGGGCTACCTGAGGTCATGGCGACGAGCATATACTTGAAATTGACCCTCGTGGACATTGTTCGTGGAACGTTTTCCGTGACAGGATTTTGGCATTCGAGACATTTTTGCGCGCTTTTGGTCTGAGTGGTTTCATCGACGTCGTGGACCGCTATCCCATCGCTTTTTAGCGTGTAATGAAAGGCGCCATCGTCGGTTATGACGCAGGTCGATCACCGAATAACGCGACTAATCTCGGCGACGCGATAGCCAAGGACGAGGCTGTCACCCCGGGTGCTCAAAGGGACGGTCTCGCGCAGGGCATCAAAGTCTTCTATGATAGAAGGTCCGATTGAACGCTATATTTGGCTGTGGGTGTCGAGATACCGACTGTGCGACGGTTAGCTGCTAGCTGTTTCAAAAAGTGGCAGGAATTTGCTTCGCACAGAGATGCTCGCTACTCCTTCGTGTTCGATGCGCAAGACTGCTGGTAGCGGCACAACACAGATACAGCCCCCCGCATGACGACAAGAAAGAGCCTGATGCTCAAAGCAGAACGACCGTGACGGCAGTCAAAGGCGTGGACAACGGGACGGGCTGCGGCCCGGGTCGAGAACACACCGTGAGAGCAAGTACTGAGGATACCAGCCGCCTTTTGAATTCTGTCCCGATAAACCCACAAGCGAAACAAGCCAGACTCGGTGCAGCACAGGTACATCGTCGACCGAGCCGCCGCCGGCGTCCTTCGCAATGCGTCGGGCTCAGCGATGCTACTGAGGCGTACGCCGCGTAGCCTTATCTTAATATCATACTAATAGTACTACAGTCCTACTCGTCTTATGGCGAAATCCCCGATGATACCACGAATGGTGCGTAGCCAATCAGGCTCCTCGCATTTATCGCAACAGTCATTGAACACCCCACAGGTACCACAGGGGGAAAACCCACACGACTGCTCGAACCTCAGTGCACAGGTATCGACAACGCGCATGCCCATGGGTTGCACTCCCAATAAGCGGCACGGCACGCCGAGGCCCGAGAAAGTACTTATCTATGGCAGCGTCGACTACGACTTCGTCAGCTCTCTACGCACCTCCCGTCCTTGTTGCCCAGCCTAACTCAGCGTCGACATGGGATCCGCACCGTCCAAAGCCACCCAAGCCACCCCCGAAGGCCAGTCACACGACTCCGAGAAGGGTCTCCTCCAGTCCTTCTCCGACGTCCGCATCTCAGCCCCGCTCTCCAAAGACGGCGCGCTCCAGCTCGGCCACGTCGATCACTGGGAGGACGTGGTAGCGCAGTCGCCGAAGCTCCAGCTCTCGCGCTCGATTCTGAACCACACCGACATTCGTGAGACGCTCGTCAAGCGCGAGGCGCGCGTCGCGGACGCGCATGTCTTCAACCTCGAACTTGACTTCAAAACGAATCCGATCACGAGCCAGAAGAGCTCCGGGCGCTGCTGGCTGTTCGCGACGACGAACGTGTTGCGGTACAATGTGATGAAGAAGCTGAACCTGGAGGAGTTCCAGCTGTCCCAGGTGCGTTCTGTTCGCCGATAACCGGTCGCCCGAAGCCCGAAGCTCCCAGCCCCGTACACACGGAGGGAGGAGGACACGTTACGCGGGCGGACGGGTGTGACATTTTCGCCATGTATAGCGGCGCGCTAATTTTGGTATCTGTATCTGCAGTCCTACCTGTTCTTCTGGGACAAACTGAACAAGGCCAACTACTACCTCGAGCTTTCGATCGAGAACGCGGACTTGCCTGTGGATGACCGCCTCGTGCAATACCTTGCCAAGGAGCTCATCAGTGATGGCGGCCAGTGGGACATGGCTGTCAACCTCCTCGAGGTGCGTTCTGTCTCCCGTTCTCCGCCCCGCTCACGCTGTCATCTCAACTCCTCGCTCCTTCATGTACAAAAAATACGCGCATGAATTCACACGCCCGCAGACCTACGGCATCGTCCCGCAACCCGTCTATCCCGAGTCCCTCCACTCCTCCCTCTCCTCCCCCCTCAACACCATCCTCAAGACAAAGCTCCGCGAGCACGCACTCATCCTGCGCTCGCTCAAGGCCTCCCTCCGTTCCAATTCCGCAATCTCCGACGCCGCGCTTCTCGCAGCGCTCCGCGCGAAGAAGGAAGAACTTCTGAAGGAGGTGTACGTCGTGATGAGTGCGACATTGGGCGCGGTGCCGAAGCCGGACGAGGCGTTCACGTGGGACTACTACGATAAGAGCGGGAAGGCCGGCTCGTGGACGGGGACTCCGAAGGAGTTCTACAATGCGTTTGCATATGATAAGTATTCGGTAAGTGACGAGCGCACGCGCAACCTGATAAGAGAGGGAGGCAAACAATGGGTGCTGATACGGCGCGTGCGTACCATGTAGCCGGCGGAGTCGTTCTCCCTCATCCACGATCCGCGGAATGACTACGGCAAGCTCTACACGGTCGACAAGCTCGGGAACCTCTGGGGCGCCCGCCCGGTGCTCTGTAAGTCCCTCATCCCCACCGCGCTGATCCGCACATCGATCCCTCTCGCGTATTGGGAAAACATGCACTAAGCTGACGCCCGGGCTCGAAGACGTGAACACGCAGATCGACAACCTCAAGCAGGCCGTCGTGCGCCAGCTCAAGGCCGGCCACCCCGTCTTCTTCGGCTGCGACGTCGGCCAGTTCTCGGACCGCCAGCTCGGGATCATGGACCAGGCGCTGTTCACGTACGAGGCCGCGTTCGACATCTCCTTCGGGCTCTCGAAGGCCGACCGGCTGCGCACGCAGGAGTCGTCGATGACGCATGCGATGGTCATTTCCGGGGTGCACTTGGACAAGGAGGGAAACCCGGTGCGGTACAAGGTCGAGAACTCGTGGGGGCCGGACGTGGGCGACAAGGGGTACTTCGTGATGAGCGACCGGTGGTTTGAGCAATGGGTGTACCAGGTAGTTATCCCGAAGCAGCTCGCGCCGAAGGATCTGGTGAAGGTGTTTGAGGGTGAGGAGAGGGTTGTGCTCCCTGCGTGGGACCCTATGGTGAGTGCGCGCTCTGTATGGATTGGTGGTCCGCTGATGGATGAGCATGTATCAGGGCTCGTTGGCGTAAAGGGCGTGCGTATCATACAAGGTTACCGGCCGGACTCTCAAGTGTACAATAGGGTAAACCTGCTCGTGTGCGTGGCATATAGTAGAATCATACAGCGTCCATGCGCGAAATCTCTTCGATACCAGCGTTTTGGGTATCGTGTGGTTGCCGTTATGAAGAGTCTGAGGTACTGAGCCCAACCTTCATCAAAATTGGTGTCGCTCAGGCCTCCTCCCTCCGCATACGTCATCTCCAGTCCGTCTGAACTGTCCGCATAAGAGGAAGAGGCAGGCCTCGTGGAGCCCACCTCGACGAGCTCGGTCATGGACGTGACGAAGGGCGGCAGAGATTGTGCGCCGTCTGGGATGAAGCGCAAGGTCGTTGAGGAAGCTGTTGATCCGTCAGTAGCGAACTTGCGGTCCTCTTCGACCCTCCGGAGCTTCAGAAGGTGATGAATGTAGTAGTTGTCGACCTGATCGTGGGGCGCACCATGGGCGCGGTTGTTGTCCTTACCACTACCACTTTCTTTGCAAGATTTCCTTGGACCAAGCGGCTTGCCGGGCCTCCCGCAACCCTCTAACCTGCTTGTGCATCTACCGGACAGTGCACCCAGGAAAGCAGCAGACATGGTTGGCCCGCATCAATGGAGATCTCGGTGTATGTCAAGTCAACGTCGCCCGGCGAGACGAGAGTCACTCTGGCAACTGCTGCCAACTGATTGAGCAGCCTGGCGATAGGTCAGCACATCGCGAGCCTCAGTCTAGCGCAAGGCACGCAGAAGACGGAGTGGGGTATGAAGCAAGTCGTCATCTCGTTACTACGATACGCGGAGTAGGTACATGCAGAGTATGACAAGGGCCCGCGAGCCAGTGGTCTATGGAAAGCGACACTACGTAAAGTTTAACCGTTCTTTGGGGATCCAATAAGCGGTATAACAGAGTTCGGGTACGATCGGGGTGTGAGCACGGGATACGAAGGGGCTCATAACCAGCATTGTTGCATGAGAGAAAGGGGTCCGGAAGCAGGAAGTAATAAACAATTGATTGAGATGACGTGAGGAAGAGAAGCGGCGCGCCGATGGTTTACAGATAATGTACACGAGACGCGCTTCCCTCTCTCACAGTCCGTCCAACAACCCGACTCGCAGAGCAGATGGGGTGGGATGATGGCAGCCAAAGCAAAGCACACCGTTCGAAACCACTTCGTCGTGTCGTGAGGTAGTCGTCGTTAGGTCGTCTGGAACGTAGAGCACGAACCCGACTGAGGGCCCCACTGAGCACCTCAGTTCATGTCCTCCCAATTAGGCCGGGGCGCGCCAATAGATAATTTGCCCATGATCTTCCGCTGCCTGAGGTTCTTCACCTCAGTGCTGATCAGATCACGTAATCGCTCTAGATCGAGGCTGCGCTCCGCTCTTGAGCCCATCAAGAGGTTGCGCCAGATACCAGCCGCGGCGACGGAGTTCTCTATGGGGAGCTGCATCGGACGGTGGAGGCGCACCATCTTTTGCATTAAGTGATCGGGGCTGGGATAGATAGCATCTGGCCAGGCAATACGGATGGCGAACCACCATCCAAGGGGCTGCATGGGCATCTGTCAGTGATAGGCATCGCGGCATTAGTGTACTGTGGGACTCACACGGCCATCAGGCAAGCATCGCTCGGGGTAGGTATCGTAGGTGGTCAGGGAACCATCAGGGAGAGAGAAGCTGCGAAATACGTCGTGAGCACAGATGCTACGCGTGAATGAATCTAGCATTGACGCGACAACTCACCGATGTACAACCCAGTGGTTGTCGTCGTTCCGGTGCTTCGCCAGCACGATCAGTAACCTCGGGATGCCTTCCAGCCCGAACGGCGCCCAAAGGTCACGCAGCATCCCGCAGGCGTCCCCGTGCCGGCCGTTGTACACAGCGGTACTGATCGCGTCTGCCATATTCGGCGGCACGAACAGGCGGTCGACGCGCCCGGGCGGCGAGTCGGTCATCTTCGCGCGCACGTACCGCTTGTACGTCTGCGTCGACCAGATGCTCAGCGCAATCTCGTCGACCTGCATCCCGCGGCTGCAGCTGTTGACTGCGTTGTCGAGCTCGGTCATCGGCCACACGATCGCCCAGCTTAAGAGACGCTGGTGGATCCGCTGCCAGGGGGGTAGCATTCGCGGCTCGCTGCCGTACTCGTTCTGCTGCCATACTTGCCCGTGGTCGATGGGAAGCATCTCGACATGCGTGTCAGCAGGGATAGGCGGCAGTGGAGGCGAGCCGCGGCGGTCGGTATACCCGCCCGTGTTGCCGTCTGGGATCTCAGGGAGACCCGACTCGGTGATGGCCGCTTGCGCGTCGGCATCCTCGTCGTATTCCCCGCCATCATCCCTATGGAGCTCCCACGTCTTGTGTGTGGCTACGGACTGACTCCCAGTAGGCTTGATCCGGAGCTTGTACAGCTCTTGCTCGAGGTACTGTTGCCCGGGGGAATTCTCGCGATCCTGGCCGCCGTAGTCGACGTCTAGTCCGCGCGTGTCGGCGTCGGTATCTGCGAAGTGGTGTTCCTCCTCGTCCTCGTAGATGTCCTCCTCCCTGATCGCGCCATGCATGGAGCCGTCGTGGTGGTGCATGGAACCAGGGAGGGTGTGCAGATGTGTTGAATCCCGGATCATCTCCCCCTCGCCAGACACGTACATGGACTCGTCGCCTGTCTGATGCTGGTGGATGTCCTGCGTCATTTGGCTCTGTTCGTATCCGCCGTCCATCTCAGAACCCTCGTAGTGCTGGTGTCCGTTCGAGTAGTTCGCGCGCTCTGTTACGTAAGAGCCTCCGCGAGAAGAACGCAGACTCTTTTCGATCTTGGGTGCGAGGGCGTCGATGCGGTTCTGCATGTTGATGAAGCCTTGGAGAAGCTCCTTTGCCCATTCCGGCGGCTCTTGTCCCGCAGGACCAACACCCGAGCGCTTCGAGCTGGCGCCCGTCAGCAAGGGGATGAGATGTACGGTGGGGTCATGATCATGATACGATTTCCGATAGGCTTTGATGGACTACGGAAGGTAAGTTGTGTTTAGCTTCCGAGCAGAATGCTGGAAGACGTCGGGTGCTGACCTCGTTGTCATACTTCATACCAAGCTTTTTGACACGAGCCCTGACAGCCTTCCGAACCGCCTTCTTCACGGGCTCACCCATGGGCTGGTCTAACGCATGGAGCAACTGACATAGCTCCATATCGTGGAAATGCGAGTTCTGGACCTCAGGCTCAAGAGCCGAGGGAGCCATCGCCGACAGGGCGTAAGAGGTACGTGTCCGGGGGACGTCAAGCACGCTTTGCACGAGGCGTTGCTCCTCGGCACTGAGAGGGTTCTCCGGCGTGGCGGCGCGAGATGGCGTCGGTGTGGTATCGGGATCGTGCGCGGTGTGTCTGGATCGCGCGGGCGACATGGGCGGCGCGACGGACCGAGCGCCCTCAGTAGGGGCGACGCTGCGCTCGCGAGACACTGACATTGCCTGGCTTCGAGGCGACATCGGAGCTTGCGACCGGGCTTGAATGAACGGATACATGTTAGAGATGCGCACACGATACTGCGACTGACTGTCCTTACCGGCACTCTGCGACTTCGCGTACCCCGTGCCACCAGAACCATGATGCCCATTCACTTCCGTCGTGCTCTTCACCGATTTCGTCGGTTTATGGGACGGCGTGCGCGCAGTTTGCCTCTGTCTTTCCAGATCGCGCTCGCGCTCCCTCTGCTCCTCTTCCCTCTCCCTCTGCTGCTGCTCCAGGAGCTGTTGCTGCTGGCGCAGGCGTCTTGTCCCGATCTGTGAAGCAGATTCGGAAGGGGCAATGGAGTACGCCTTATTGGTCCGCTGGCCGTCATCGAGGACAGACTCCGGCAAGGGCGGATATTGCGTGCGCTGGGTCTTCTGAGTGTTCCGCGACTTGACAGACTGGTTCTGAGAAGCAGCGGTCCGAGGCGACCACGGCCGCTCGGGTGCTGCGCCCGCGGCCGTGCCGGTGCGTGCGGGAGAAAGTGCGCGCGAGGCGGCTTTTGGCGAGACGACCTGTGGCACATCAGTTCATATGGTGCGATCGCAATGCGCCTGATGCACAAACCCCATTCTCAGCGACGGAAGGAGCCTTCTGAGATGCTTTGGCGGACGTAACATGACGACTTCTAGACCCGACGCCGCTGGGCGCGCCTGCATACGACGCCGCACCAGCGATGCCTGTTGTCGTCACAGGCGCCATGCCAAATTGCTATCTATTGTCAGACGTCGTTGTCACGAACTGTATGTTAGAAGCACCTTACCGAAAACGGATTGGGATGGCTCTCTGTGGGTGACCCTGGGCTCCCGACGGTCGTCTCGGGGAGGGGTACGGCAGCAGCCTTGGACGGACTGGCCTACAGGAAAGGCGTGATTGCGTTAGTTCCCAGAAGGAAGCACGCGCATCAGGAACCAAAGACGCACAATGCCGTTCCTACCGTTGAAACTCTCCCGGGGCAGGGGTCCAAAGTTACCAAATGAAGACCCGTACGATTCGAATTTGGGACCCGGGGGGTCGCCAGGGCCAGGCTCGTGGTCAGGCTGGAAGGCCAAGACGGGTAGGATGGGTCGCCGGACAACGCGGAATGGACGATGATACTCACAATGCCAGTCGTGTGGATGGGTATGGTGCGGCCCAGCTCAGATGCATGCTCTTGGACGTCAGACCTGATGTCTTCACCACCATTCTCATCGTCTCCCGCCAACTGCTCCAGCTGCCGGACGCTGCTCGCGGCCTTGCTCTTGGAACGGGGGGAGCGGAGGACGTCTGAAGTGGTGAGACTGCTTCGCATGTCGTCATCAGGCGGATTCTGGTTCAATCCTTCGAGGTATAAGAGGACTGTTACGCGCGCGCGCGTTCATAAGTTTACGCATGCAAATGCTGCCAAGGCAAGCAGGATCGCACCTTTCTCATTCGATGCTGCGCGCAAAAACGGGGAGTCAATCAGAGCCAGCTTCATCACAGAGGGGCCATGAGGCGTACCGGGAGTGCTGGACCGCATCATGAGAGTATGCAAGCTGCCCTGGCCATTGCCAACAGCAGACATGATTGATGGGTTCACAATAGGATTGGGTGAGGGTTAAGCTGGCGTGCAGCAGGTGTTGATCGCGCGGACAAGCAAGGGTAGATATACAGAGGAAGGAAGGAGACGATAAGGTATCCGGAAGAGCACAGACAGAGGTATGGGCGGTCGAGTGAGGTCACACAGCGGAGGAAAGGGAATATGAACTTGGTCCAGAGTTTGCGGCCTCGAGGCGGGCGCATGTTCGGATTCCTGTTGTCCCCTGTTTGCCGTTATCGGGCGCTTCCCATATCAGTGCCTCCAGCCTGCACGCCTCTCAGCAAGGCTCCTTGGGTCCCCCCACCTCTGCTGCGAATGGTGAACCGTCTGCCGTGCCTCTTTCCCATTGCTGCACACATGCGCGATCGAACAGATGTTTGCTTCTGGCCGCAGCGACCGATCGACTTATAGGGGCCATGATCGGGTCGGCACCGCACTCATATCGCCTCCATTCTCCGTCTCGGCAGCGGCCAGATTTCACTCATCCTTGGCCAGGACTCTACTCTACTTACATCTAGGATGGCTGAAGAAGGAGGGGTGATGCGAATGTATTCGACACCAACAGTGAGTCTCTGTCGTATCGCAAGGAATCTAGGTCCTGACTTGTGCTGCGTAAACCGCCGTTAGCATCCGGGTCAAGAATGTATAAAACGTCGCAAGACTGCTCACAGGCCATCTCATTGGCAACCTCCTTGGCCCCGGAGTCGAGCGTACGAGGGCGCCCATCACGGTCATCATGCTGAATGCCGCCTTGGCATATCGTCGTCACATCCGCCCACGTCCCCACCGGCCCTTTTGACGTCTCACGCATCGCCCAACGCTTCGGCTCAGGCTTTACAGCAAGCGTGGCCGGGACCATTCAGTCCCGCAAGACCCGGAGCTCAGCGGTATACTTTTCGGTGCGTTAAGTATCGAGTCGTCCTCAGCAGCACCAAGTTGATAATATTGCGTAGCTGCTTTTGCGGGCGCCTACAGGTGCTACAGCAGCACGCTCGCGGTGGCATCGTACAAGTACAGCGTTCCAAGCTCAATGTGCTCGCGACAGCAGCTCTGTCACGAGCACGTTGAGCTCAGAACGCGGTGCTCAATAGTCGCCGATGACTAAGGGGATAGCAGCAGGGCCATGCCTTGGTGGCGAATTGACTTGGGCATGTCCACAATGCAAACATCGAACGTCCTAGTGGGCAGCTAGGGTAGTCAACGCGTGGCCTAAAAGGAATTGCTAGGTTTCAGTGAAGCATTGGTTTCCTTGAGTATGGGTATGGTAGCCTAGAGGATTGACGTGCTGACAACACTGCTATCGGTAAGTAGTGAGGTTGTCATCTAGGGAATCATCGCTCAATGGACCTGCGTTAGTGGGAAAGGCGATTGCAGGGATGCGAGCGATGTCCCAACTTTCGGCACTACTACTGAGGTCCTCCATCCTGCAGACCGTAACAGGTCAATGATATAGATCACACGTGCATGGATGCTCGGCTCGCTTTGCGCTCTCAGGCTTTCAATCGCGTACAGAGCCATACCTACTCTGGGTTCCAATACATGATGTAGAGGTTAACGGAGTCTATCCGTATAACGCCAGAGGGCATAGGGCTTCTAGATATCGTCATTTTTCAAGCAATCTCTCTGTCGATCACCAGGAGTCTAATGAGCTGTATGAACAAAAGTCATGGTAATGTCACCTCTTCGTGTGCAACTCCAGTAAGGGTTAGCTTTCCCCGCCAAATTGCGAGTAGCCGACCGAAGCCTTACTCGCCTTATTGAGCGGCTACGGGCGATTTACAGCTGTTTGCACCTGCATAGGCTTCCTCGAAGTACTTGCTCAAGTCGGTTGTGAGCCAAACCATATGCGGGCTAGCCAGACGCTCTGACCCCCCACCGTCTCAAAGGCCCTCGGTGGGGCCCTCCAGCTTCTTGAATGGCGGATCGCACTCGCATCTTGGTCGGCCCTCTAACCAAGCTGAGCCCGGTTTTCTAAAGGGGCCTACTTATGGACATGCAACCGCTGTAGTCAGTACTTGGACCAGACCAACCCTGCACTAATCCGTCGTAACTGGAGGTTTAGACCTGTTTGGTTGTGTTAGGATCAGAAGCCTTTGCACAATAAGACAAAACAACGCCGAAGCCGGCTTAGTCACGACGACTGAAATGACTCGGACTGGGGGCCGTCTAGCACCATTCCTGTGGGCTCTGAGTGAGTTGTACTAGAGGTCGACTTCAGTGACGTACATATACTGTGGACACGACGAGGGCCTGGCTTGAAACCACACCAGCTGTTACTACTGATCAACATGATGGGCCCATGCCATGTACCGAAGGATTCTCGTGCGGTTTAGGTAGCGGGTAGGAAACTGCATGTTCAAGTTATGACTCGCACCTTCGTGACATCCCACAGCTCCCATATTTTATCTACAATGAAAGCCCACGAAGATCTAGAGGAATGAGGAGTTTCACCTTTACCACCAATATCGTTGTCGTGGAGACAATCCCTTCATGGTTCTGTGGATGTCGCTAACCTATGTAATTTGAGAGCCGGTTGCCAATAGGCGCTACTCGAAAACTCACATCTGTATTGTCGGAAATGGTGAACGTCCGGTAAGTGCTCCGAGGGACTCCCTCCTACATATGCCATGCTTGGCCAAGCTGCGGTGCGGTTGCCCACACTGGTCGCAGACCTCTGACAGAATGAACGACGGTCAGTTCAACCCGCTCTATGTACAGCCTACTAGAGTGCATTTCCCTCGACACCCGCTTATGAAGACTGGCCTCTCGAATCCCCGTATCGAATGTTCTTGATGGTCTCCATCGGTCGTGAAACATCTTACCCACATGTACGAGCGGAAACTTCGGATATCATTATGGTACGTTCGGCTATGTTCGCCGGGCCAGAGGCAAGATACTAAATAACATTAAATGTGTGACCCTCCACCATTAAAACTATATAGCCCGTGGCATGAATGAGTAATGAGACGTGTCACCTTCTTTTAGCAGAAGGTGATGGCGAGGTTGACCTATACACGAAGTATGTCAGCACTACTACTCAGAGCACAACGGAGGCTTGATGCTTACGTCGTTGCTCTCGCACTGAACCTGGACCTGGGTGTCGTCGGGCTGGCGGAAGGCAGTGGGGCAGTTAGCGTTGTCGCAGTTCGCCCCCGCGCCGTCGCAGCCGTTGTAGTAGCCGAATCCTGAAGTAACGCTGAACGCATGAGGGGCGATCAAGCTGAGGTCGGTCGACGAGCCAGCGCCAGGAGACGTGGGGTTGACGAGCGTCGTTTCGACGAGCAAACAGTTATCCCCGTTGAAGCCGCAGTTTCCTGTAGGGGGTCGAAGCAGATCACAGCAGTCAGCGTTACTGGGCAACACTCGAACATTTAATTGGGTAAAGCATACCGGTCTGAAGATAACTAAGGAGGTCCGTCAAGACACCTGCAATGCAAATACAATGCGTGTAAGGTGACTTACGCGATAGCAGCGGTGATAGGACCGTTGGTAGTATAAGCACCGCCGGTCGAGAGGACTTGTCCGTTTTGGATCAGAGTAGGCTGTGGCGGATCATCAGTTCATGTATTGATCGTCGTTTCTGGCATCGCCACATACAGTTCCGAAACCACAACTGTCGAAGACTTGCAATGAGAGTCTCGTTCAGCTTTCAGAGCACGAAACACGACCTACCGGTTGTCGAAGGTGATGGTGTGCGTCTCGGCGAGGGCGGAGCCAGCCAGGGCGGCGAGGGCAAGAGCGGAGGCGACAAACTTGAACATCGTGATGAACTAACGTCTACGAGAGTCTGATTCGACTGGCGAATGCAAAAGAGATCAGAGACAGGCAACAAAGGAGTGAGGGCGGGCTGGTTGACCAACATCGCGTTCACCATGCTTTATAGGTCTTGTAACAGGACCCCAGATCCTGAGCTTGAGAACAACGCACATGCGAAACCCATCGGCTGTTCATGACATCGCAGCACTGTATGGGCGAGGCCGGAAATCGAGTGGTACTTAGCAATGAATCTTTTGCTGTTTGACATCAGTGACCGCATGTCTGTTTGCAGGTGATGGCTCTGTACGCGGCGACAGGCGCCGGTGATCGGTATCCAAAAGAAGCCAGACTGGTCGCCGAGATCCAGGGTACGATCGGCACCTTCTGTTTACTCAACGCCCACCGCCACACAGGTCCAGACATCTCCGTGGCCCGCATGTCTGCGCTGCACGCTCGTACCCCAGAAGCAACAAGGCATCATATACTGTTCACAGTATTACAGAGTTATGGGTATCCATATAAAATATGTGCGTCACAAAAAAGAGAGAAGAATCACTACCACAAGATCATACACGACCTGCATCCAATCGCGCCCTTCAGAGTACGACTCCACATCCACATGGCATAGGCGTTAGAAGATGATAGAATCAGAGATCATGTCCGCTACGTCAGTCGTCCACATCGTCGTCGGCGCCCACCTGCGCTATCTCACGTCGGTGGTGCTGCATCCGCACAGGCGACGGCACGATACCGGCACTGGGCGGCGGCTCCTCGCTTTCCTCAATTGTATCCTCGTCGGGCTGACCCTTCCATCGGGCTTTCGGCCCCGCAGCATCGTCTGGGCTGGGCGAGGAGGTGACGAGAGCCTTCTCGAGCGCCTTCTCGCCTCGCTTTCTGAGCCGCAGGGACATCGCCGCCTGGAGCGAGTCAATGTAAGAGTCGTATTTGACTATCTCCGTCAACAGATACTGCGACTTCTTCTCCCAGTTGGTCATCGCCTTCTGGGCGTTGGACGAACGCGGCTGGTACTAGTCGACAATATGCACGTTAGCGAACTGCCGAACGCGAGCCTACGGCGCATCAGACCGCAGTGCGCCGCACTCACCAGCTGTGTCATCGGAGTCCTCAATTCGTTGTGCTGTTGCAGATCTTCCTTCAGATGCGCGACGTGCTTCTGTAGCGCTTCCAGCTGGGTCTCCTCGTCATGTGTGCTCGGCACGGACGGCGGAAGCGGTGGCTTCCATTCGTTGATGTACGTCCTGTCAGCCCATGGCGACTTGTCCGCGCGCACGGTGGCGGCCATGTCTTTGAAACGACTACGCCCGCTGCGAACGCTCTGCGAGTCCGTGTCCCGGATAGAATAGTCGTCTTCCGAGATGGAGCGGCCACGGGTGACCGGATCTGCAACGCGGCTCCAACCGTATTCCATATTCGAGACACCGCCGACGAGAGGCTCCTTGCTCTGCCTCGCCGCCCAATAGTTGCATGTTGACACCCATTCGTTCACGAGCTCCTCTGTGCCGGCTTGGAAAAAATACACGCCGCCGTTCGACAGCGTCAGCACCATGCAATGCGGGCGCTGTCGGTTGTAGCCTGGCGGAGGCAGCGCATGGGCGAGCGAATGGGCGAGCAGCAGTGTCCCCACAGGCGTCGCATTTTCCTGTTTCAAGGTCAATGTTGACCAGAGCGGCTCTTCGACATTGACTGATACTCACCAGCCAGTTTCCGCCACCAACAACACTGGAGCCGCCCAGCCCGTGCTCGCCGAATGTGAACATGCTGAGTTCGCCCTTTTGGATGACCACAAACACATCCATCCACGCCTTCGACTTGGCCCGCTTCCCCGCGCACTCCCAGTACTGCTTCCGGCACAGCATACCCTCCTTTGCCCACGGGGGCCCGAGAAGCGCTAGCTCCTCGTCAGTGATGCTGATGTCGGTGGTCGAAGAGGTATCGCTGCGGAGACTATGCTCGTCGTCTTCTCTCTGCTCACGGATGATTGTGTGAGAGAGATTGGACGCGAAGCCGAGCGCGGGTGCCAAGAACGACACAGAAGAACCATGCATACCCTATTTCTGACGAATCAGTGATGCCCCGCGGAGAACGGTTAGTGACGGTGCAGGTGCATTACCTCGTTCGACGTCGCGAAGCTCGGTGCAGGGCTGGCACGTCCGTCGATACTGCTGCCGCTGCTGTACGGACTGTGGCCTTGAGCACCCAAGATGGACTGCAAGCCCCGGATACTCCCGCGCTTGAGCGTCGTCAGACGGTCCTGCTGAGTGCGGACGCTTCGGTTCCGAAGAACCGTCCCGTGAGGGCTCAACGACGATGTTGACGATCGAGCTAGGAGCATATTGCCTGTGGGAAGGAGGATCTGTTGCGCCTTTACCGCATTGTAGATTTCCTACGCACGAATCAGTATCCCAGGATGACACACATAAGTTAGCCTCAATCCTCACCTTCAGCATATTCTCGATATCCAACTCCCAATTACGGTCAAAGATGACCCCGGGCGCAGACGAGGGTGCCGACGCCGTCGGAGGCGGCAGGGCACTAGCACTATTCTCCAGGCTCTGCTTGCCATCGGCGTTGCTCGACGCCCCGACGGACACCGAGCTCTGGTTCGCCGAGGACGACCCGATGGGGTCTGTGGATGCGAGCGTCAACTGTCCGGAGGAATTGACCGGCGTGCCTGCAGAAGGCGAGAGCGCCTCCCGAGTGACGCTGTTCCAGCTGGTGATACTGTCGCTCCGCTTCGCCTTGGCACGCACAGTGTCGCCGGGGTCAGAACTGCCTCGAATGCTGCTCCAGTCGTCGTAGGTGAGATCGATGCTCGACGCCATTTCGTCCGGTCGTAGCTGAAGCTGGATGGTGTTCATCGTATTCCGCACGAACTGGTTCCTGGACATGCGGTTTGCGAGCTCTGCGACATGGAGATCGGTGTTGAGCAAGAGCACGGAATATGAAACAGCATGGACGACGCCTGCACAGATTCAACGCGTTAGACTGGAACTCAGAGACGTCCAGGTGAGGCAGACATACTGGCAGACCCCAGGATGGAAGACGGGTTGCATTCCCAATACCGCCGCGCGAACTCCTCAAGGATACGGTCCACCTGCTGCGTTTCCGCCTTCAGATAGAGCTTCGCACACAACCGTCTATCACGGAGCCATATGTCAGCGACACGCGTCGGAACCGCTGCGTGCACTGCAGCAACGCACCTGAATGCCTGATCCAGTCGGAGATTTGAGAAGTCGAAGTTGTTTACGTAGTGGCGCAGGGCCGTCTTGTTGATGAGGCTCCTGCAATGTCCGTTAGCGCGTCGACACGGACCGGGTCTCCACCACCGCTATGCCATATACGCACTGTCCGCCAAGCCACTCGGCGATTTTATCCTTCGGCAAGAACTCTTCGTCTTCTGCCCAGCATCGGGCAGCAAGCTCCTTGCCTCTGTTGTCGAGGTCGGCGGTTTCCTCCTGCTGTCTCCCAGGCGAGCTGCGCAGCGAGAAGCGTGCTAGCACGAGGTCGTTCGTCGTGAGGTCTTGTTGCGAAACTGCGGAAAGGCCCGGCACTGCATGGGAGTCAGCAAAGCTATTCATGGAAGAGACGTTGCGGGAAGCGCAAGGTGACTCACAGACGCGACCGTCGTCCCGGTCCGGGACGAGGGACGGCTCCGATGCGGATGCTGTAGAGCGATGCTGCACGCGGAGCCTGTTGGATTCTCGAGATGCGGAATGAACGTGGTGCAAAGAGGGGCCGCCGATTCGGCTCGAGGGCGAACGTGGGCCATACTTTGGGTTTGACGAGCGCTGAAACGTCCCAGCATTGGAACCAGCGCGCGATCGCAAAGGAGTGCTTAGAGATGATGTACGAGGCGGAACAATGGGAGGCTCCACAGCGGAGTTGGGGGCAGAGGAACCAGCATCTACGAGATTCTCTTCGCCGCCAGCGACGGTCTGAAGCGTGACGGCAGGGGTGCCAAACTCAGCAGGAGCTGTGACCGCCGTCCTTGGTGTCGGACGGCCATTGGGTTGAACAGACAAAGGAGCGATCGTGTCACTTTGCGAGCGAGGAGCGAGGGGCCGCTTCGAAGGCGTCGTAGGGTCCCGGAGGTCCAGCGACGTAGACGGAGACGCGAGCTGCTGTAGTTCACCTCTGAACTGCGACATGATGCCCTCAAGACGGGTGCCCCACCCAGGAGAACCTTCGAGCGCCTTGGTGTCAGTCGAGATGCGGAGCGGGCTTGGCGAAGCCCCCAACCCCATAGCTTTCTTGATCTCTGCGTCGCTGACGCTCATGCTCCTCCGCTTAGTTCTGCTCGGGGTCCTGATGTGTTGTCCGGCACGCTGCTTGACCGTCTGGGTTGGAGAGGGTGACCGAGACCGCTGCTCGTAGTCGACCAGCACAAGGGACTGATCGTCCGATGTGTCTGTCGCCCCCGATGGGCGTTCATGATGGCTGATGGGCGGAAGAGGCTTGTCGTCGCCAGACCCCCTTGGCGGAGCGGAAAAGACGTCGGCAGTGTCAGCAGGTCCAGGTGCGGGTACGCGAGACGTGCCTTTAGGTAAAGGCGGAACAGGAGGAGGAAAGGCGTCGAACAGAGGCGAGCTGGAGTAGTTGGCAAAGGACGCCGTGGACGGCGAAGACGTGAGGGTGCGCTGTGGACGCAAGGTATCGTACATCCTATTGTCTGGAGTTGGACAAGGGTGGTAAAGACTCACGGATCGCTCTCGCGTACTGCCTGTTCCCAGCATTTTGCCCAAGAACGCGGACGTCTTCGCCCGCACAGAAGACTTTGCAGGCTGGAGTTGCAACGAGAGCGTCAATGGCTATGGTGACGGCGTACTAGCAAACACAATCACCTTCCCGTCCTTCATGGACCCAAACGACCTTGGGCTGGTCAAAACCCATTCAGAACTCGCAGCGCTGCTAGCAGTGGAGCGCTGGTCGGACAAGGACAGGTTCTGGGAGGACCTCATCTTGCCTCTGGGGAGAGGGGTGACTTGGGGAGAGGAAACGGGCGATTGGGCTGGCGACAATAATAGTGAGGGAAAGGATAGGAATGCATATGGCAATACTTACCCTCTCTGGACGACGAGTTGCTCGACTTCTTCCCGTCCTTATGACTCCCCCCGGCGCCGCTGCCGCGTTCTTTAGCTTTTCGAAGGAGTGTGGCAAGATCCGGGCTGCTTGCAGTGCCTGGGGACCGATACATAGAGCGCCGCCGTGTCTGGTAGTCAATGTCCTCGGGCGCGTCGTAGAAGACCTCGCTCGTCGACGACGACGATGATGGCGAGGTGAGGTCGGTGGCGGTAACAAGGCCCGAGCGGGCGGCGCTATTTCCGGGAGAGGGTGTGGGTGGTACAATGATAGGCGTCGCCGGCTGGAGGCCTAGGTAGCCCCGCTGCTGAGGCGGGGAAGGAGAAGAGGAGAGAGAGATGGAGGCGTTGGAGCTGTCGCTCACGCCGAGCTTATCGACGTCGAGGCCTTCCTTGAGGAGGACGGTGCCGCCTGCGCGGAGAGCCTGCTCGAAATCTAGGTCGGTGCGGGAGGTGCGTCGGCCAGCGGGGCCATTGGCGTCCTTGGACGCGATCGGCTGGAGGCCCGAGGGAAACGAGGACGGCGGCACGGACGACCGCGGGGAATGCTGCCTGAAGAACGACGCCAGAGTGGAGGACGGGCACGAAGTCGGGAGCCTGGGACACGGTGGGCGAGTCCGACTCGACGCGCACGTCGCCGTCCCTGCCAAAGCTGCGGCCTCTCCCATGACCAGATCCTCCGCGATTGGCTCCGTCCGTCCCGTTTCAGCCTGATTTCCGCGCCTCATTACCACCAGGTACGCATACTTATTCAACAACACAGCTAGTGCGCGATGACCGTTCGGCCAATAATCTATAACATCTACAGCCACATCGTACAACTCGTAGTAGCCCTCCTGAGCCGCAAAAGGAACACATGTGTGGGGGGTCGCGCGAGAGACGTACCGGGGCACAGCAGTACACAGTATTCTAGACACATTACAAGCATAGATGATAGAGCACATGGAGGAGAAGCAGAGCAGGATAATACGCCAGAACCCGCAACATCGGCAGCAGCATCACATCACGACACGTCTCAAGCCTCCCCACCGCCGTCTTTCGACGAAGACGACTGTATCTGAGCACTCGTGGAAGTCCGTCGTTGTCGCTTCAGCGAGGCCGACGCCCCCGCGGCTCCCACCCGACTCGCGGGCGACAGCCGCGTATTCGACGGCATCGAGCTCGTCGTCGACGCCCGCGGCCGATTCTGCGCCGCGATCTTCGGCAGGTTCGCGTTGTTCTTCCGCGACGACCCGTGCGGCGTGCCCGACGCGCGATTCCTATCACCGAAGCCGTCAGAACCAAACGTCCGCGCGATCGACGGCGAAGAAGACGCACCTCTTCTTAATCACGTCCGTCTTCAGGGATAGCGGGCGCACGACGCCGTGCAGTTTCTGCAACAAGACGTCAGCTGAGAGCCCGGGAAAACGTGACGGGAAGACGGCGACTCACGTAGAACAGACCGCACGCATTGCCTGCACGGGACGCAGACGATCAGCGATAGGCAGGGCAGCACGATAAGCAGAAAACATACAAAGGGGTTGGCCCTCGGGGTCCCGCCGCCACAAAGGCGTGATCGTCGTCTGGCAGTTCGTGCAAACCGTCGGCGTGCTCTCTCCATCCTCACCTCCGACCCGGCCCTGGCCGCCAGCACCGTTCGCCGTCTCAGGCGTGCTCCTACCCGTGGACCCTGGTGAGCCCTATGTCGTCTCTCTACTACCCAAACGAAGACGCACCCTTTGCGCTGTGCGCCACTCGCGGCAGCGCGTGTGGCGTTGTCTACGCGCTTGCTTGATGCTATCTTGCGAGGCGGTTGCGCGCTGCGAGACGTCCCCGCAGCACCGTCCAGGGACGGGGGCGTCGACGCGTTCGAGACGTTATATGGCTCTGGGGACGCACCAGAACTGGAGCCGACGCCGTTGCCCCAGCCATCGCTCGATGGACTGCGGTGGAACATACCCTCAGTATGCTCGAGAGGAAGGATCTGATTAGGGTCGACTGTAAACGAGTTCGAGTTCGAGCCTAACGTCGAGTTGAGGTCGTGGGACGTCACGGGGCTGTACATCATGTTCATGAGCTGATAGTCCTCTATGCCCAGGTTCGTCATGTTGAACTGGGCGTATGTCTCCGTGATAGCGGCCGAGGCGGCGACTGCTGCGGCAGAAAGACTCTCACTGCCGCCGACGCTCATAGCCGGAGAGTATGTCCCGTTCATCGAGGCGCGTATTGAATCTGCAAATTGGTGTTCAGAAGCCGAGTGGTCCTTGGGGGTCGAAAGAGAGGCAGACATGTTAGTCCCTCCCATGCCGTTGTTCGCGGCGCCGGAGAGGTCGAAGAAGGAATCGTATGAGGGTGGGACGCTGAAGTTAAACGACGAAGAAGGGAAGGGACTCTCCCGCCTATAGTGGTGATCCAAATCCTTGGTGTCGATGGGAGGAGGTAAGTCAAAGCCGGCGGGAGGGTCGGCGCGCAACATGCTCTCTGCGTGGGGGGCGTCGGCGCGCCGCTTGGTGCCAAGAAGACCTTCAGGTGACCTAGGCTTGCCATTGACCTGATGACGGCCACTCACGCCTGTGAATATGCCCTCTTTGGCAACGGTGTGGTCAAAACTCGTCTTCCTGACGTGCTTCGGGAACGTCTTGAGCTCCGGAGATGGCTGCGTCGATGCGGACGCGCGGGCGAGGATCCCGGTTGACGGAAGCGAGGATGGGTGCGCAAGGGGACTGTGAAACAGAGACGACGAGTCAAAGTTAGGATAGTGGCCGCGATGCTCGCCGGCGGACTCGTAGACGGCGGGCAGCATGAGCTGGGACGGGAGGGAGGAATGTGGGCTGCGGCGGCCCGCGGAGCTAGGAATGGGGATGCTGGGCGACGTCACTTCGCGCTTGGGTGGCGTCGAGGAAGGGAACTTGAACTGGTTCTGAAGATCGGACATTCCGCCCATGGGTGGTCGGGAACGAGAGCGACTCGCAGGCCTCCAGTCCATAGGCGCTCGCGAACGGGATCTGCTGATAGCACGCCAGTCCATCGGCACTTCGCTAATAAGTGGACAACAGAGCTCAGTAAGACGGAAGATGGCGCAATAACGTCATATACGTACTCATTCTCTTCTGCGCCGTCCTGGTTTGCGCCGTCAAAACCAACAACCTGCACCCTCGCCTTCCCTTTATCAATGGTTCGCCCTCTCTCCGTCTCCTGTGCCGTCTCTGCCCCACCGGTAGATGGGCCGGTTCCCTCAGCCGCCTTCTCACCGCTGGGCTGCGCGGACCCCGGGCCACCGCCCTTCTGCGCCTTTGCCTCCCGGTCCTTCTCCTTCGCTCGCTCTTTCTCCCTCCCCTCGTCCTCTTTCTTCTTCTTCAGCGCGAGCGCCATCATCCTCCACGTCAAGTTCTCCATCCGCTGCGCGTGCGGCAGCGTCGCTTTCTGGCGAGCGTACATTTTCCACACCTGCGTCGCAAGCGGGTCTTCCCTCGCAAGCTGCTCCGGATCGGCATCCGCGCCTGCGAGATCGAAAGACTTCAACTCCGGGGACCCCGAGACCTTGGGTGACGCGAAGGGCCGTGAGCCGGACTTCTCGTGCACAGATTGTCTGAGAGCAAACAGCGGGTCGGAGAACAGCTCTGAAAACACACGCTCGTTCGGGCTGGAGGCAGAAGTAGGCGCGGTCGACTTCCCGGAGTCGAGAAGCGACAACGCAGTAGGACTCGACGAAGTCACGAGGGACTCGGAAATGGAGGACTGTCGTGGATGAGACATCTGATTGAAAGAGAACAACGAAGCTTCGGAATAGCTCGACGAAGAAGACGGTACGTTAGTGGATGACATCCACAGGGAGGGAGGGATTCCAGGCGCGAAGCGCTGGGTGTGATGCGCTGGCTGCGAGTGGAATTCGAAGGACGATCTGTGGGAGGGGAAGGTCGTCGAAAGGTCGTCGAGGTGAGTTTCGAGCCCAGGTGCTAAGAGGGAACCGCGTCCGCTGGAGCCAGCGACGTGCGCTGCTCCCAGTTGTTGACTGAGGGAATTCCGCCGGTCATGGCTGAAATCTACTGGGGCATCGTAGGGAGACATGGGCAAAGGCATAGAAGAAGAAGGGTGTCGCAGGTTAACGGGGCCGTAGGACTGAGAAACGCCAGCACCGGGAGATTTACGACGAGCGTACGAGGCTGATGCGCCGGACCCAGAACGAAGATGAACCGGGGAGGCTCTGTGGGAGGTCGCGGGAGGGGACGCATATGGAGAAGAGACGTTTGACCATGTCATTGGGATGCCTGAGCGGCTGATGTCGTGCGCATTAAGTTGTTGCGCACGGGTATTGACGCCAAAATCATGTGGGGTATGATTAGATCGCGGAGGAAGACTCGAGGGCACGCTCGCAGAGGGAGGTGCGAACAGGCCCTGTGCAGCAAGCTTATGGAATGTGGAGGGATCGAGAGGGTTGGAAAACACGTTTCCCCACTCTGTGTTTCCCGCCGGTGGCTGAGAGCTATATTGTGTAGGCATGTCGGCGTGATGGGACATGGGCGAGACAGGGTGCTGCAACATGTATGCAGTTGTCTGAGATTGGGCCGAGGCCGCCAGAGGAGTTTCAGGGGCCCAAGGGGAGGAATGAGTGGACTGAGAGACGGAGGAAGGAGGGGGGCTGAGATTGACCGGAGTGGTTGATGAGCCCGACGCTGGTAAGGCCGAGGTGTTTATGGTGGGGCGTCCCAGAGAGGGCCAAGCCTGTTTGCGTGTATTGGAGTCGCCTCTGGCAGGACCAGTGACAAGTTCCATAAGACTCCGTCTAGAAAAAAAGGCAGACGACGATGAATGAGCACGCGCGAACGGTTTGTTGGAGCGAAAGAGCAAAAGCAACGCACGACTGCGGAGTGAGCGGGAAGAACCCAGCAGGGGGCGGGTGCTGGGCGGTCGCGCTGTAGGTTGTGCCGACTGCCGTTGGGGGAGATGTTGATGGCGTCGCGGGATGAGAAGGGGCGAGCGTCGACGAGGACGAGACGGAAAAGAGGCAGAGAGTAGGGGCGGCGACGAGGAGCGATGGCAAGGGAGGACGGACCGTGGCCGAGGGCCCAACAAACCGCGCGCGGCCGCTCATGATTATGCCGATCGACCGTTTTAGGGCATTGCAGTAAGCGGTAAATAATTATTCCAGCTGGGCCCAAGACGCCGTCCGGCCGACCGCTCCCCGCTCCCGCTCCTGCTCTCTCTTCCCGTCCCACGAACCTCCGCCCGACCATACGCAGTCCGGCCCACGACCCGACCACACAGGCACTCGCTTGCTTCTCTCACACATCGTACCTGTCTGCGCTCAGTACTTTCTGTCGCACTCAGCACGACTCGCGGCACCCGGGGCGTACTCCTGCCAGACGGCCGCCTGTCTTGCCCCTAACGGCCGGCAGATCAACATTTTAACAGCGCGCCCAAATGGCCGGAATGCGTCCTGGCCAACCCCGTTCATACGATTTCCGCTGAAATTCTTGATTACCATTTCCAGTTCTCTAGCTCACACCGATTATGCTTCAGCGGAAAGCCCCCTCGCTTTCGTTCATCCACCGAGTGCGACATCGGGCCCTCCCCCTGATCCGTCTTCAGCCATGCATGGCCCACTCAAATTGTTCTGGACCCCCGGTTTGATCCAGGACCCTGGCCATCGGGGGGTTGATGGTTCAGGCATGAATTCACCAAGTGCACCATCACTGCGTGAATGCAGCTTCATGGTTCCGCGCATAGCGCATTCGGAAACTCAGCTTCCACCCTGGCTCTCCTCGCTTTCCCCATTTGGGGCGTCACCTCAAGCCTCTCTAGGTCCACTCCTTGCTCACATGGCCCTCGCTGCCGTCACCCTCTCCATCTGCAACTCCGAACGTCCATACATGTCCCGCCCAGCTTCACTCTCCAACGCCCACAGACGTTTCAGTCGGCTAGAGTCCACGGAGATAGTCTCTGCCTGACCCGGGACCTGATTGTCTTTACAACCATTCGCGTTGATTTACACAACTTATGCGATCGCAGTCTCTTGAATTTGCTCCTGTCGTGATGTCGTCCTTCGCAGAACATCGCTCTTGGCACCAGCCAGACGGCGTGTGATCGCTGACAACTTGTCGCCTTGATTGAAATAGCTTCGCACAGCTGTCCGTCATCCAGTTCGTACCCCGGACGGACCCTGGCGTCAAGGTCAGCATACTGCTATGCACGCTCCATGTGGTAGCACTAGAAGCCTGACCTTCCACATAGTAGCCAGGTCACAACTTGCCACGCATGACTTCGTATACAACCCCCTGGGTTCTTGTTTGACATAGCGAGCGAGCCACTACCTGCGGCCCCGGAGCTCCTGAGCTTTCGTCATCTTCCTCGACGTCTCCAACCTCTGCACGACCCACTGCCGTTACATCGGCACATGTCCTGCGCACCGCGCCACGTTTCCAGAAGGCACAATGCGGGACGCCGTCTCACGGCCCACGGGAACGTGCTTGGAGACGACAATACATACGCATCTCCCTACGCCTGCGAGAACGCACACGTAAGTGCCGCTAAGGTTTGGTAGGGGACAATGGTAACAGCGATTCCTCGCACCACCCGCCTTCTCCTGCGTCAGGTGGTCTGGGGAGATGCCCCTCGAGGCTCGCGCTCGCCCAACCCGCCGAATCTCCGCCTGACGATCCTGCGTGCCGTGTTACGCTGCTTCCTCCTCACGACCCCAGATCGCCGAGTCGTCGCGCTGGCCGCCGCATCTGCCGTGGGCGATGCTGCGCCGTCCTGCGCCCCCTTCGGGCGCAGGTCATGAGACTGCCTGTGCGTCTCGCGTGCGAGAGCCCTGCCCGACTGCCTCCCCCTTCTTCGCTTCTTGCGCCGGAAGCGGTTAGGTCGCAGTACTAGTCTCGGTAACGCCAGTGACGTCTCTAGTCGGCCGTCTGAGAAGCAGCACTATACTGTACATTGTGGTCAACTGTGAACTGTCCTGGAGCTCGTGCAGTATGCGGGAACCGGGGCCGGGGACCCTCGTGGCCGCTCCCACCAGTCAAGACGTCCAATTGTGGTCTCCGGCGCGGAAGAGGCGCGTTCGCATGGTTATTGAGAAGCTGAAGGTGGAAACCCTGCGCTAGAATTCGCAGCTTGCGCTCCCATGCTTGGAGTTCCTTTGGATCCATCGCGCCGGCATCTTGTACTATGGCGTTCTAGGCAGGCGCGCCCCGTGGGCTGCGGGACGCGACTCGGCCTGCCGACAGTGGATATATTTCGCCGAGCGTGCCTGGCGCGCTCTCGGTTTCTCCCGCTCGCTCAAGGCGACTCTGGACAGGTACGCCTGGAAGTCGGCTTCGTTGGCTTGCTCTGTCTGCGAGAGGTACGAGACCTCCGAACTGGTTTATGCGATTTTTTGCGACTCCGGCTGGGTCTCATGTGCACAACCACATGGTAGAAAGAGGTGTGGGCGTTTGTGTATGGCGCTTGCCTTCTTGGACGGCGGCTAGCCGAAGTATGTTTGTTCGGAGGGTCAACCCTCTTTCAGCTGTCGCTGATCCCCCCGCGCATCTGAACACTCCTCGGCGTAACTGTAGATTCAGATTCTCTGGATAGATGTTTCATTCTCTGTGCGACCATAAGATTTTACGTCCTTTGTTTTCCTGGCGCTCGGAGGTGGGTCCGTAAAAGATCTATCCTTCCGGCGTCCATTTTGTACTCCATGGGCTCCTGATGCACCCCTAAGCCTATACGGGCCGCCGGAGTCGTGGACTCGTAGACGCGGCGGTGTCGTGCGCAAAGATCGGACAATGCTCGTCCAAGAGAGACGATCTCCCTGAAGCTAATCTATGCGGACTAATGACTGTTTCCACAGCCACTGCTGCACATGACACGCACGAGTCAACCTTCCAGATTACGATCTCACCTCACTGTACAACGGGTTGCTTGGAACATTGCCCATAGCCATCCGAGAATATACTTTAAAACGTCGAATGACGGGATACTGCTGAGAGGCTAAGCGACCGCTAAATGCGCGGACGTTTCTGACCATGCTGATCATGACTCGAGTTCGCAGGTGTAAGTAACCGGCTCTGAAAAAGCTGCACTACCCAAGTACATACCCCTGTTGAGAACCATCAGATTTCCCGATCGACGGAGTCGTCCCCTGGCGCATCAACCACTTTCCGTCGACGGCCAATCGCGGTCCCTGTCAGTCCCACTAGGTTCTCTCTCAAGTTGACTCACAGGCCGCCACCACTGCGCCTTCTAGACTGTCGTGGTCGATCAGAAGGAGCATGCGTGGGCAAGCGCCTGCCATTCACCCGCCATATGTATGCCAAAGACGACCGGCCGCCGGCAGTTGACCTGTTCATTAGCATTAATCACATGTGACCGGTAGAGAACCCGGTTCTACGCATGTTACCAGCCTGGATGCAATTGCAAGCGACAGAGAATGAAAGGGGGCGTGGAGACCCGGCGAGCTCCACCACCACAACGTCAACAGATCCCGCTGGAGCGCTGATGCAGAAGGTGGAATAGAATCAAGACGTACGAAAGACGCGGATGGGACGGACCGAAAGGGATTGGCACGGACGGTGAACATTTTTTGACGGTGCCTGTCTCGGCTGCTGGCTGCGACGCAAGAAAAGATCTCATCCCCATCGATCGGTTGCGTCCAGGTCCAATGGCGGGAGGCACAATGTCCAGGCCAACGCCGCAAGCCGCAAAAACTGCCGGCTCGCGAATGAGCCGCGACACCACACGCGACCGTACATGCGGCGGACTCAAGATCTCAGCAGATGCAATTTGTCGGTGGGGCACCGTTTGTTTGCACAAGGTGTACGGAAAAGCCGGCGAGGTAGCTGTTTTGGTATGCAGACCGGATACTGACCCTACTGCCCTAGTCAATACTTTCTGGACCTTGATCTGCTAGTAGCCTGGAAATCATACCAAAATATTCATCATTCCGCCGACCTCACTCACGACGGATCATCGACAACATTCTAACAGTCTTCCCCTTTGCATCTCGAGGTCAATCCTATCGCCTCAAGCACATTCGTTGCCCCTCACGACCACGACAACTCTCTGGGGTCGTGTATACTCTACATTACCGGTCGCGGCTCTGCGAGCAGCCGTCGCTTTCATGGTGCGGCCCTTCAATGCTGTGTTCATGGAACCGCATCCCCTCCGGATATCCGCTTGTGTAGTGCATCGCAGTGTCCCTCCCATCTGTATTCTCGTATGGGCTTTTCAAGACTGGTTTTCACCCCGAACTGTCGGCGTCCGTGTCGCACACGCCCACAAAGGAGGTCCCTCCCCCGATCTTGGACAACCCTGCAGGCGCAATATCGTCCCGGTCTTACTGGCATATTCTTCTCCGGTCGGATGTCCTTTGCCTACTCCCCGCCGGCTTTGTCCTACTCAACTTCTATCGACTCGGATTCCTCAGCTCCACAACGCTTATAGTCACCGACACCGGCGTCGGTACCACCATGCCTTTGTACGGCGCATACAGGTCACCCGGTTCCAGGCCTTGGGATGACTATACTCCTCTTCGCAGCTCCACATAGGCTGTGCTCTCGCTTGTCCCCTCTGCCACATGTCCCTGTCGGCCTCTCGTGTGGTCTCTGCGCTGTCTCTCTGCGCCCTCTCCCTCTGTCATATCTTCAGAACGACGCTGTCTCGTCGCCTCTGGTCAGCATTGTCTTGCTGTCTCTTTTGTCACGTTGTTGATACAACGCCGTCTCGTCGCTTATATGGTCTCTGAACTGGTCGCTTTTGCCTGACGGTCTCCGAGGCCCTTGCACTTGTCTTGCCTGATGTTTTTCCAGGCTTCACACTTGTCTTGCCTGACGATATTCCAGGCCTTCACGCTCGTCTTGCCCGACGCTTTCCTAGAACTTGGCGTGTTAATCAAATAAACCCTTCCTGTCTCTGGCAACTCTCCTGGTGTTTCCCTGCGAGCTCTGGCCTTCGTCTCAAGGATTTCTTGTGTTTGGACTGTCGCGTTTCTGCGATACACCAGCTGTCGGCTGGCATTATACACGTCCGGCTGCCCTCACGGATGTCCCCGTTCACCTCCACGTTCTATCTCCTGCGATATGGCACCCCCCACTCTCATTGTCGTACACTCCCCCTACGAATGAGGTGGTTATAGTACTTCCTGGGGTGTTCGCAGTTGTCATCAGAATTCCGAGGACGATGCGAGTTGATATAGTTACTCACTTTACATCTGCCATGCAGGTGCATAGCGGTGGAAGTTTCTGCTCGAAACCTTCACCATCTGAACCCGTGTATCTGTACCTGTGCTACACGTGGTGAGCGAGGAGATGACAAATGACACGAGTACGCAGGGGAGCAAACCGAGCTGTGTGAACATGTCGATCCATTGAGCGGAGACCGGGCAGGAAAAAATTGTATCTCTACGCCTACCTTGCCCTACTGCCACAGGGAATATAACACTCCTAGGAGATGCCGAACCATGTAGCGACGTGTACGTGGCACAACGCTGATAACGCTGATCACTCGCGTCCAGAAAGGGGCCGGTGGGTAGCAGTATACCGCAACGAACACTTCCACCCGAGTGCAAAACTTGTCGTTGCACTCCGGAGTTTGGGAGGGTGTACTCACTTCGACGACGACTAGGGGACTCTCCCGCCGCGACAGAGCGAACTCTCACTCCCGTGAACCACCATAACCAGCAACGGAGAACTAGGGAACGCGCGCGAAACCATGACAAGAACGGACGCGGGATTTGTGGAGGTCTTGGCACTGTAGCTTCTGGAAGTCGATAGTTACCCAGAGCGCCCTATCTCACACGACCGTCATACCTCACCGTGAAACGCTTGGGAAGGGACAATGTATAGATTAGCGGCGTGAGAGTGGAGACGGAATTATACACAGCTGGGTATCATAGTCAACTGCGCTTCCTTTTCAACCGCTTCCCCCCTCTGAACCCTCCGGCGACTCCTCTGGAAGCAATGACGGAGTAATCGCATCCTCGGATAGGGGTTCCTCGCCATTGAGGGAGTTCGCCGCAGCGTCCACCTGTGGGTTCCTGTCGATCGAGCCAGCAGCCGACTTATCGCAACGTTGCTCGGGCTTCTCTTCCAGTTGGTCCGACCAGCTCCACGCCTCGTTAAGGTCTCCTTGGAACAGCGCCATGACGAAGAAAGACAGGATACAAGCGGGGCTAGCGAGCAGTGGCCCGGTTAACGACCGCAGTCTTCCATGTCGGAGGACGCGTACCTTAGGTAGAGAAGTGCGGGCTGCGCCTTCCGGAAGAAGTGCATCACAGACATGGTGGTAACGAGACCAAGCGCGTAGGCGACCAGTGCAGCATGGAAGTATGCCTTTCGAACCGAGGCGAGCTGACCTTGACGGGAAGCACGATGATAGTCGTACCGAAGCGCGGTCGCCACAAACATGCCTGGGATCACGATGTCGCCGAGACCGAGCATGGTGAATCCTCGTTCTGCGGAGAATAGCACGGACTTGGGCCACAGCAGCTTGATGGGGACGTCCAGGTTGGTAGCGACCTTGACCATCTGGGGAGATAGCGATGGCTTCGCAGGTAAACTTCCGAGCAGTAGCACAGCACTCACCACTTCGGTCCCGAACACCCACCAGATGTCGTACACGAACAGGCCCGACAAGAGAACCACCCCAGTCTTGAATGAATCCAGTTTGAGTAAGGAGAGAGCATTATGCGAGAACGACAAGCCCAAGATATCAGTGAGCAAAGCAGAGCGACGAGTAACACTACCACCAAAAGTATACAAGATTGAGGGTATCGCCCCAATAGGTAGGAGGAAGAGAGATGGGGTCCGTAGAGAGAACGATAGCAGTTCTATGATAGCCGGGGTGAGCAACGGGATTGCAAAGGGGGGGGGGAAGAGCTGACCGCGGGGCCCCTTAAGTACCAGGATTTTGTTGTTATCAAACTTCTTCCAACGTGACTCTCCAACGAGCCAGCGCGTCACGGAGATAAGCGACTAGTGTGTTTCAGCATGGGCAAGGGGGGAAGACCACGATAAGTTCAAGATAAGTGCTCACCTTGCCCACGCTGCCGACTCCCGCAATGGTGAAGTACCATTGCAACAGCCATGTGATCCACTCCTTGCCGTAGTACTTGACGATAAGATACAAGCCGAACAGCACGACGGAACCAACCTATATAGCCCAATTGAACGGTGTCATTCAGACTCAGTGCGAAAGCATAACGAACCACCGGGAACAGATAAGCATCCTGGGACGACAATCTCTCGACTTCCTGTTCATCCTGTTCATCAGGTTCTGTTCCTGGTCGCTTGAAACTTTTGCTCTGTTCACAGTCGCAGCGAAAGTTGAGCGCGACGTCGCGTGACCAGAATGAGGAGTGCCTAACTGATAGTGAGCCATAGGACCCAGCATATATTGACGCGCATGCTAATGACAGGAGACCGGCATAGGACGATAATAGGTCCCAATCCGTGCTTGCGACCGACATGATGGACGTGAATGAAAGAACACGTGCTGCCACGTCGCGTGCCGGTCCAGCAAAGACGAGTTTGTCCGTGTTTGGATCGGAGGGTTTTGACAAACACGCTCAAACAATCAGACCTGAACGGTCCTCCCTCCGGCCTCGGTGACATGACGCTGTGCGCTCACGAGTCACTGGCATCAATGTAGTCTCGTGACCAGACGTTCGGAGCTTCAATCGGATGCGAAAAACCGGGTGCATCAGTTCAGGAGCTCGGATGCACCCGGTTTTTTGCATCCGATTGAAGCTCCGAACGTCTGGTCACGAGACTAGCATCAATGAAGATGTGCCTACATAAACGCAAAACTGTTACGCCTAGTGTGTTGCCATATAGTCAGCGCGCCAGAGAACAGCCCCTTGGTCGACACAGTTGGGATTGACCGTCGAGCGCGTGCGAGACATACTGGTCTCTTCCTAGTAATAACCTTCACACCCATATGGGGCACTCGGTGGCCACGAATATTTCAGGCGGGCTGGGCGGCCGCGTTGCCCCGAGGTGGCGGTGTCATGAGCAGTTGAGTGTAAGTCCGAAGCCCCATTGCGAAGTTACAGCAATTTACGACGTCATCCGCAAACTCCTCGGTTCGGCCTCCAGGACCAAGGTGGGGGGTCCATTCACCGCTTCCTGTCGTCCAGCAGCCATGGGTCCTAGGGCTGCAAAATACACGGCGAGGCTTGTCGAATGCATCCGGTGTGTGATCGTATAGTAAGATTGCTTAGCTTGCAAGCTGATCCGTCACTTCTTCAGACATTTCACGCCAGCATGGTTCGCTGCCATTATGGGTGTGTATAGTAGTCACTGGTTCAAATCATGTCTGACGGTGCAATATTCCGACAGGGACCGGTGTCATCGCAATTTTGTGGCACAACTCCCCTTACGCGTACGACTCGAGGACTGTAAAGGTTTTCGCCTATACATTCTTCTTCCTCAACCTACTCCTCTTTATTTTCTTCAACATCCTTACCATACTACGCTACACCATGTTTCCAGAAATATGGCCAGCCTTGATCTATCATCCAACGCAAAGCCTCTTCCTTGGAACATACCCTATGGGCGCGGCCACTCTCATCAACGTTGCCGTTGGCGTCATTTACACAGAAGACGGATTTGGCGGGAAACCCTTCTTGTACACCCTGTGGGCATTCTGGTGGGTCGACGTCGCTTTGTCGGTGATGAGCGCATATGGAATTGTCTACCTTATGTCAGTAAGCGTCCACGAGCTTCTACAGTCTCATGAAGCGACACTGACCGAACTTCCCGTTAGGTTCACGCGGCAGAAGCACGCACTGGAGAGTGTAACCGCCGTGTGGCTTCTTCCGGTCGTACCGCTCGTCGTCATCTCGTCTAGCGGTGGAGTCCTCGCCGCACCCCTGGTCAACTACTCCGCGTCGAACAGCCTCATCACGCTTGTCATCTCCACCGCCTTGGTGATCATGGGGCTGACACTGGCGTTCATGATGCTGTCGCTCTATTTCCTACGGCTAGCCATCTACGGCGTTCCTAGAGGCGGTGGAGTGGTCAGCGTGTATATTCCACTCGGTCCCCTGGGGCAAGGCGGGTACTCCATCCTACTCCTCGGCGCAGGCTTCAATTCGATCCTGCCCCTGCATCACGGAAGCTCTGCCGTCCTGCGTCTGGAGACAGTCGGACAGATCATCGAAGTCGCCACTCTCGGTCTCGCCCTGACGCTCTGGTCCATGGCCTCGCTGTGGTTGGTGTATGGCGCGATAGCGACAATCGATGTGATCTGGCATGAAAAAATCCTATTCCGGCAGGCCTTCTGGAGCCTTGTTTTCCCGAACGTGAGCCACACGCTCCTCACCCCTTCTCTCCTGTGCCGGTCCCACCGCTGATATCGCGTCCCTGCCAGGGCGTGTACGCGAACTTGACGATCCAGCTGTACCGCGTCACGGACTGGACGTTCTTCCGCGTGTGGGGCGCTATCTATGCGCTCGCTACGCTGATACTGTGGGCGTGGGTGTTTGTGCGGACCTGCGTGCTGGTATATAGCGGGGCGATGTTCCACGCGCCGTGCCTCGACGACGTCGACATCCACGCCACAGCGATGGGAAAGGGCACGAAGACGGAGCACGCGCACAGTTCGATCACGGACGTCGAGGCAGCTGGTGGGCCAGAGAGCACCGCCGTCGCCGCGAACGGGCGCAGCCATAGCGACCACTCTATGAGCTCGGGTAGTAGACGGACACCGAGTTCCAGATTCGATATCGGGCGCGGAAGAGAGCAAGAGACATGAAGACGAATGCATTACAGTAAAACTACAGTAGCACACAAGTAATATATAATGTAGCGGTAGAGTACAGAGCTCCATACACAACCACAAATACGACACTACGAGCACAGGCACGAGCACGCGAGGCTCTGCGCTAGAGGGGAGGGATCCAGGGTCCTGGTGACCAGCACTCTATCCGCTACAATTCACAGGGAAAGACAGACGGGTGGTTCAGATTGCGTACACCGACTGGACACCGTCACGTCTAGTGATGTGTATGATGCAATCCGTATCGAGTTCGAGAAAATCGAGGGGAGAAAGAGTTTGGCGTGGAGAAATAGTCGGGGGCGGGGAGTACCGCTTTGAGTAAGCAGGGAGAGGAGGGGCTATACCTGGTAAAGTTCAGGAAGCAAGTATCCATGTCAGAGTTATAGTACGACGGTGGACGAGGATGTGGGGTTGCTACCCAGGCCTTTCTCCGGGTCAAATGTCACCTTGGTTCCCGTCGTGCCTTGGTCCGGCACATAGGGTGCCTTGAACATTGAGCCATCTATGAACGCGGGTATGCTCCGTAGGAAGACCGTGATCCAGAGGAGGAACACGACGCCTAGGACACATAGGTGATGAGAACCAGACGATATTGTAACCTTCAGGGAACGAGAGAGACGACGTACCACACCACGCAGCACCGATCGCTCTGAACACCGGACTATCCAGTACTTTGGCAAGCTCCACACACAGAAGCGCAAACACGCCGTTCGGGAAAATCAGGCCCCAGTACGCCATCGAGAACGGCAATTTCGTCTCCGCGCGCACGTGGAGGATCGTAATGACCGCGACGAGGATCCATGCGACACCCATCGAGAAGAGCACGTATGCCCCGAGGAAGCATCCCGCGAAAACCATCTGGCCCGCAAGCGCGATCGTGGGGAACTCATCTCCCATGTGCAGCGGAAGGATCTCGAAGAGGTCCTGCCCGTTGACGAGGAGCGAGAATCCGCCTTGGCCCAATGGTCCGAGCGTGATGAATGCGGAGAGGATGAGGGAGGGGTCGGGGGTGCCGACAGTGACGAGGCGGAGGAGATAGACGGTGATCATCATGAGCGCAAAGCTAAGACCGATGATGACCATAGTGAACGAGAAGGCGGAGGTGACGAGGGCGAGGGTTGTGGAGTGCGGCATGAGCGCGTGGGCCATGAGGCCGCCAGAGGAGGACGCGACGATGAGGGGGACCACGGGCAGAAGCCATGTTGCGGTCATCTTCGGGATGGAGTGGTCCTGGCGAGTCATCCTACGGAAGGCGTCAATGACATGCTCTGCCATGAGCGACTGCTGGCGCTGGTAACGATCCACTCCCTCGGAGCCTGAGTGCGTCTCACGTCACGTCCTACATCCACGTCCTGCATCTACGGCCGGAGTAGACAGTGGCAGTGCCAAGAGCAAGAGCAAGCACATAGAGTGCATATGGAAAGCAAAGACTAGTACACAATCGGATCCATGAACTCAGGTGAGGCGAAACGATATCAAGAGACATCCGTGCTTTAGGAGAGAGTACAGAAAATAGGAAAGACACAACATGATAAGACTCACATGATGTAGAGCATGCCAAAGGCGATCAGGTAGGAGACAGCGGAGTCCAACCACCAGAATCCCCAGAGCGTCCAGAGGAAGGCATTTCCGCCGAAACCCCAGTCCTGGTTAACGTTCTGCAAACCTGTGAGCATAGAGCGGTCGAGCATACAATCGTGATGTGCTCACCAGCGCAGAATTGATCAAAGTCGCGGCCCCCATCGGGAAGCATCCTATGAACAGACTTTGGGCAGGATGGTGGATCATCAAGGACCAGATCTAGACACGAGTCGCGTGAGTTATCCTGTCGAGCACTTACCTTCGCGCTGCAGCGGCAAGCACTGAGAACATACCTCGGGGAACATGCTATATCGGAGTATTGTGCAGGTGCAAACGAACACGAACAACACGAGGTTGAGCAGAAAGATGGCGAGTGCTGCTATCTTGAGCGCCAGGCTGTCGTTGTGGTAAGGAAAGTTGTGGAGGAGGGCCGAGACCACGCCCGTGCCCATGATCACAGCATGCCACGCCCAAGTAAAATGCCTAAGGGTGTTTTTGTTAACGGAGGTTCTGATGGTCACAGTGAACAGTACTTTACTACGCCTTCTGACCATAGGGATGGTACATCTACGACCGAGAGGCCTCGTTCGTTCAGATTCCACGTCCACCAGACGCCGGAATGTGAAGCGCTCCTCGGTCAGACGTAGCGTCCCCGGCCAGAGAGATATGTGGCGCCGTTTTCGTATAATAAGGATGACAGTACGCACCGAATACGCTCTCGCCAGCTTTTCCAAGCATACACTGGCTGCAAAAGAGGCATGACGGGCAAAACAAAGCCCAAAAGGGTTATCAGAGCCAAAGAATGAGGGGAAGGGAGGGATCACCTCACAATCGCTGGGATGGAGATATATGAGGGCTGCGCTTAACAGCATGACTCCAAGGGGGGGAATCCTCGAGAAGAGATTGGGACCGGAACTGCACGCGTTCAACTAGCGAATTCCGAATACCAGTTTTCGGATCACCTAAACGCTGTCTAGCCGCCAATAGGAGTGGGTTCATTCTGGCGAGCTGACACAGAAGATAGGGAAGGTGACGCAGCATGGGACGAGGCCAGCTGCAGTGCCCGTCTTGAATTCCGAATTGTGTAGCCACTCGGAAGGGGAGGATTGGGGGAGAGGCATGCTCACTTGCCGCTCTCACCGCCACCACTCACGTGACGCCCCGAGCACTGTGCCAGAACGCGACCTTTCCTCCCGTCGGTTAACGAACCGCTGGGTCAAACAAGTAGATGTGGTTAACTGTTGAACCTACCTTGTATTGGCAATTCCCAAGAGCTGCGAGGATTGCGCAATTCCTAGTGGAATAGCGCAGCAGGCTAGCCGACGCTGGTTACGGAAGCATCCGAAGCGCCATATTCATGGCAAAAGGTCCGGTGTCACTGCAGCCTGCTGACGATGGCAGCGAGGAGCGTCCAGATCTTTCATCGGATTCAGCGGAAGACCTGCGCGTCAGGTTGCAAGAATAACACATACGGCGCTCCCACGCGGGCCGCTGTAGCAGCCCAGCACTGAGCATGTAGATTTCAGATTCGTTCGTCCACGGCTTGCCTAGCAGCTACAACTGAGCTCCGTCTATCACCAACTAGTATCCAGATAACTGCATTGAGGCTTTCCTGCATGGTCGCCGGTCTTCCACTGAACTCGAGCGCGCTCGTAGATGGAGATGCAATGATTCTACATAGACGGCAGGCTTATCTGAATGCTGTTGGCTGCTCATGTTGCCTAATGTACTCCGCATGCTTGGTGCCGATGTAGAGAGATGTACGTCCTTGATCGCGCTCAGACTCGAGATCGTGGGTGTAAGTTGTCCTGGCGCCCGCTAGCGTCTCATACCGACTGAGACTATCCTGACGTAGTAGGGATAGCAGCAGGCTACACTCACGTACCCCAGGAAACTTGTGTTGCGGGCGCATTCGTGTCCAAGGCGAAGGTAAGGAAAGGAGCGATGCACGGGTACCGGGAACTGCACAGGAGGCCAAGATGGTGATTGCCATATATGGGCGATCACATCGGTGTGAAGGGCACGGCGAATACGAATCACCCTGCGTGGCACATCCGCCCGCACCGTGCAACCCCGCACTCCTATCCTCCGCCGTCTATACGCTCCCTGGACGTTGACCATGCCACCCGACCGTTCTGAATACCAGCCTCTGACGCAGAATCCCGATGACGAGGAAGCGGACGTCTCTGAGTCCTTACCGCAATCGGTTACTGCACGAGGGTTACGCAGGGCGCATCGACCAGTGCACATTGACTTGAGGAATCTGGACACTGCGTTCAAGAGGTGCGTGTCTCATTCCATTCATTTGGCGTTTCCAGGAAACCGAGATGCTGTCCTACCAAGATGGACCGAATCTATAGCGCAGAAGGTGAAGCGGAAGAAGAAGGTCGAGGACAATTCCAAGAAGGAGATCTGGCACAGCGTGTTTGAGCCCCAATACACTCCGTCGATGGTGCACACCAGTCCAGTGAGTATCTCTCACTACTGCTTCACTGCTTAGGGGGATCAACATACCCTGCACTATGCTCATAGGTGAAGACCTTGGACCACAAGCCTCCTATGACTGCTGCCGACTTCGAAATGTGAGTATCACTGCTGTGACATTCTCCCCTTCCTAACTGACAGCACAAGATACGTCCAAGCAGTGCGCGACGCCATTGGCGAAGGCATTCATCCCAAGATGATTACCAAGGGGTCTTCTGGATCGTACTATGCCCGCGCGAAGGTCGACGGCCGCGTCCAGACTGTTGCGTACGTCTTGCTCTGCTGCTTCACATCCGATCAGTATTCATAGTGTGATAGTGTTTTCAAGCCGAAAGACGAGGAGCCCTACGGACGCCTAAACCCGAAGGTAAGGCGTGTCCGCGCTAGTATCCTTGCGGTGGCTGATTCGGGTTTAGACTACCAAATGGCTACATAGGCAGTTCCGGTGGATCATACCCTTCGGTAGAGCTTGTCTCATTCCCAATCTAAGGTATGTAGTCGCCGCGCTTCCCTAACTCCCTAGATTTACAGGCGCGTAGTTACATCTCGGAAGCGGCTGCGTCACTACTTGACGAGCGCCTGGGTCTCAACATTGTTCCGAGGACGCAGCTCGTGTCTTTATCGAGTCAGGTGAGTAACAGTATTCGTGACAGCATGCAGCAGCTGAGCACAGAGTCAAGGCATTCTTCTATGATTGGCTAGACCGCACCGCGGCCAAGAAGGGGAAGCCACTACCTGAGAAGATCGGCAGTATGCAATACTTCTTGCATGGCTTCACAGGTATGCATGTTCGTTGGCTCTGGCCTAGCGTACATTCTTCTGAACACACATACAGATGCTTCCGACTTCTTGCGAAAGCATCCATGGCCAGGTCGAGCCATCTCCGACACGTTCGACGACGACAGCCACCGGAAGGGCAGTTTCTACAAGAAGTTCCTTGGTGCTCTCAAAGTCGTCTGTGGCAAGACCGGTGCGGAGGAGGACTACGAGGATGACGACGTCGTCGAACGGATGTACGATAGGACGGAGAGTCGGTCAGGGGAGCCTTTCTATTGGACGCCTGCGCTACAAGACAACTTCCGAGAAGAACTCGAGAAGTAGGTATTGCTATGCAACTCTTTCGAATGTCAATAAACTAATGGCTATGCCGGGCAGATTGGTCATCTTAGGTATCACTTTGTTCCCGTACGTGTGGTCGGATCCGTATCCTAACGCCTTGATAGACTACCTGATGCTGAACACTGACCGTGGCGCTGACAACTACATGATCAAGTTCTGCGAAGGCGATCACTCGAAGTCGCTCGTAGACGTCGCGCCTTCACGGACATCGCGGCCCGAGATGCCCATGATGACTGAGCTTAGGCGGTCAGACACCATAGGCAGCGGACACACTATCATCGGGGCTCCTACCTCGTCCGCATACGCGCCGGCATACTCATCCAGTCTCCCGTATACAACACAGCCGCACATACACATCGCCGCTATCGACAACTCGTTGTCATTCCCTCACGAACATCCGAAGGGGTGGCGATCGTATACCTATGGATGGTTGTACCTTCCGGTGACAATCATTGGGCGACCGTTCAGTCAGAAGACGAGGGACCACTTCTTGCCTTTGCTGACATCGAAGATGTGGTGGGCGGAGACGACGTATGAGCTGAGAAAGCTGTTTGCGGTAGATCCGGACTTCCACCCCAAGATGTTCAGGGTAAGTAGTAAAACCTAGTATAATCGAATCCACCATTGATGAGCTCTTTCTGCAGCGGCAAATTGCGGTCATTAAGGGACAGGCCTTCAACATTGTACAGTCGTTGAAGCACGCAGTAAGCGCTCATCAATTACCACCGTGCAGGGACGTACTAAGCTCTCCTCAGGATGAGGGTCCTTTGGAGCTTACTCGTAGAACGAAAGTCCTGGTATGGGACGACGAGATCCCCATGACCGAAGACATGCTCCGAGACGCTGAAGTGGCGAATAGCACGTCCTCCTATTCTAACCAAGTTCCGCCCATTTCCCCACACGCGTCCATCGTCTCCATGCCCCAACTACCAACACAGCAACGTCGAACACGCAGCCAGAGCATTAACGGTTTCCCCCCGCCGATACGGCGGTCGTCGACGGACATGGTGGGCATCTCGCGGCCCGTTTCGTTCTCGGCGAAGTTCCAGCGCGTGCATCCTGCGACCACTGGGGTCACTGTGCTCGAGCACATGGAGCGCTTGGATGCCGTCGAGGCCGGGCTGAAGCGGCTGGGGGTTGATGACGATGACATTGTGGACGACGATGAGCGCGAGGTCGACGTCGGCGAGTCATCGTCCGCTCCATCCCAGCTGCACCGAGTTCCTTTGTCTGCACCACCGACTCGGTCCACCTTCGACTCGCCACCGGTTTCTCGCGAGTCATCTGCGGAAGGTGGACTTATGCTCTCTCCGTCGTCTCAGACGGAGCGGTTGCCTGTGGTGCCCGAGACGGAGGATCGCGACAGTCTGCAGGAGGCTGGTGAGGCAGACTTGTCGATGTCCTTTGCAGAAGAGGACTTGGTGGCCATGTCCAAGAGCACGAGCCAGATCGAGGCGCCACACTCGTCGCTGCATACTCGATTCACGAGCTATCAGGGCGTCATTGAAGAGGAGCCGAGTTTGGACTGGATCCGTGATCACTCAGTGGAGAGTCCGAAGACGAAGACAGTAATCGTCGAGGTAGGTTTACCGGGTGTATTTTTCTGCTAGAAGTGTGCTAACTGGAAGGCCCGTGTAGCGCCTGGAGACTGTCGATGCCAAGCCGCTCTGCTCATGCTGGTAAGCTACACTAGAGGGTGGGCCTGGGTATCCTGGAGGATCTCAGATGAATGTTATACTTGCTGTTCTTATCAAATTCGCTGTCTGCATGCTTTCGGCACGGACTACTATTGTCATCTATTCTTGATTCCGTCTAGCTCTTGTTCGTCCTTGTACATTGGTTCACAGGAAGGATTTTACTATAGTCGCACAGCTGCTGCAATGCACATATACACATAGATATTAGACTACGTTCATAGTCCAGTGCTGCCCCTCCAGGATTATGTCGATAACATAGCTGAAACGTCATACATCACTCCTCGCCCTCGGCCATGAGCCATTTTGCGAAGTCGTCGAGACGTGCTTTCTCGCCCTGTTCGCCCTCGCCGAAGTTATCGCCGTATCCGCTCCGTCTGAAGCGTTGTCGTCCGGCATAGAGGGTGGCTTCTATACGGCGACCAGCGAAGAAACGGCCGTTCATTTTCTGTGACGCAATCTTGGCTCAGCCAGTTTGAACTCGGCAGGCAACTCAAGACTCACAATCATGCAAGCTTGGGCACTGAGTGGATCCTTGAACTTGACTGTCATGATACCATCGGGCTCCTCCTGCAGCGCGAGTCAGCGGGTGATAACAAGGCGGAGGGCAGGCTACGTACGTCGTATAGGACAACATTCGTGACTTCGCCAAGCGTGGAACACTCTTCTCGTACATCCTCTTTGAGGTCGAGAAGCAACGACTTGTCCTCCTGAAGCTCTTTCAGCGTGAACATATGCTTTAGCACGACCACCCGCCCGTGCTTGTTCATAGCATTCATCTTATCTTCTTCCGTGATTGCAGGACCGAAACCATCCTCGTCGTCCCACTCGCCCAGTTTCCTGGAGAACACGCACATATTTGTAAGTCTTCCTCGTTCGTCCGCAATAGTGGGTTCAGAAAGGCACGCACTTCTGCATCTTCCCAATCCTCCTCGTCGCCCTCTTCTTGTCTTCCACCGTCCTCCGCGGCTTCGCCGGTCCTCCCTGCCCACTACCGCTCTCATGCTTGTGCCCGAACTCCGCGCGTTTGACATGCATCCTCGTGCTCGGCTCGCCCACCCGCAGCTCTGCGTCGTCCAGCATCGTGATCGCGAGGTCGACGGACTCCTCCTTGAAGTACACGACGAGCGCGTCCCCCGAGAAGCTCCCGTCGTCGCGCGCGTACAGCTTCACCTTCGGGTACCCCGCATCGTCCTCCTCGATCAGTCCGAACTTCCCAAAACGCTCCACGAGCTCGTCCGCGGTCGTGTCGGAGGGCAGTCCAGTGATGTAAACCGCGGTGTTCTTGGACTTGCGTTCCGGAGGCGCCGCAGAAGTGGACGCGCCGTTGTTGGAGTCGTTGGCGGCAGAGCCTTTCTTGCCGCGCTTGCTGCCTCCGGAGATGATGACGGGCCCGTCTGCGGGCTCTTTGCGCTTCTTGTTGATGCGCTTGAGGACGGGCGCGGCGGGTGCCTGTGAAGACGAAGCGCAGGGGTGGTGTTGGGACGTGTATTCACGGAGGGAAGCAGACGTGCAGACGCACCTCCTCGTCTACACCAACGACAGAGTATGCGGCCTGTTGGGCCTTCACGAGCTCGTCATCGAGCTGTAGGGGTAGGACGGTGCATGAGCCCCGTTGAATGCTGCGGCACAATGTTATGGTGCTTACCACTGGGACCCATGCTCCTTTCGCCGCGTCGTACTCCAGCTCGGTCCCGTCATCCTGCTCAAAACGCCACGTACCAGCCGTCTTGTCATAGTGTACGCGTGGATCGTCGGCGAATGCGGCGGCCTGTGCCTCTGATGAGGACCCACTCGCTAAGACTACCGGGGTGGCGCCGTCCTCCAAAGTCGACATTATGATGAGTCAAGGCAATTATGCGGACTGCAGATACGCAGTGGTGTCCAGAGCAAGCACGCAGTATTGTGAGGTTTCAAATATCGAGCAAAGGGTAGGTGTACAATTGAAGAAGTCTACGTTCCGTAGCCACAATTGTTGGAGACTTGCGGCACGGTCGGATTGGGCTGATTCCCACGGCATGACCACCAGCAAGTTGCAGGCAGTAGGATACGTGGCTCTGAGCCAACCAACTGCGTTGTATTCAATGATGTCAAATGGCGAGAACAAGCTGCGAGACTGATGCCGATGCTTCATACATTCTCGCGGTCAGTCGTACATGACTTGTAGATCAGGATGCAACTGACGAGCTCTACTGATAGTCTACTTCACAAGGAGCATCGGGAAGTACGCGTGGGGATCATGGGGTGCGTCTTCTACGCGCTGCGGCTGCCATTTCTTGAATGGAATAGGAAGGGTAGGAGGGAGCTTGCTCTCAGAATAAGCCTTGCGAGCGGACGCAATCGTGGCAATGGCCTCCGTGAGGTCGACACCGCCTTTCTGCTCAGCAGGCACAGACGAAGTCTCGCTCTTCTGGCTCTCTCCAGGGGCAGCAATGCTATCGCGTGGGTTGGTCAGGATGTGGAATGAATCAGACCGTGGCACGGGGAGGGAACGTACAATTGTTGTGCCTGCGCATGCTCCAAAAGTAGCGTAGATAGCTCTGCCTGAGTCACCACCGAAAGTTGAGGGTACGCCCGTCGCACATCGCGCTTCCAGTACGGGTTCTGTGCGGGGTCGGAGGCTGAGGTAGTATCGGTCAGACCCAATCATACGCGTCACATATCGATATGTTCCGAACCCTTGGTGGCAGGTGTGGAGTACTTCTCCGGCCTTGACCCAGGAGGCGGTTGACGGTTGACACTAGCGATAGGGAGGCCACTAGAAATTTCAGGATTCACAACAACGGCGTCCCCTGCAAACGTCGAGTATGCTGTCAGGCACAGTTGCGGGAAGTTAGAGGATGGACGCGCGCACTGAATTTCTTCCAGAAGCCCTTCGGGCTGAGATGGTAGAGGGTATGGTCCGCAGCCTTGCGGGTTGCCATGTCCAGGATAAATGCGCGTAGAGAGTGTGGTGGACACCGTCGAGAAGTCTGGTCGAAGCCGTGTGCCGCGACGAGCTGTTGCGTCCGGTGAGGTCACATGCTCCGTGGGCGGCTAAGGCAGCCATCGGCCTCAAATCAGTTTCGCACTCGTTTCTCACTTGCGTACAATAGCCACCCAAACATTCGCCGAACAACTTGCCAGTGTTCTGCCTAGTTTCACCCGCTAAGCACAGACAATATGGCCGTGTCGGAGTCTTTGACAGACACTTGGCATCTGCGTTGGGGAATTCGTCGTCCCCACTTGCGCGGCGTCCATCAGCGACCGATGTATTACAGTCCTCGTCCATCCTGAACGACTAGGAGTCCGTCCTTTGGCTTCTGGCATGCGAACCGTTCGTAGTACGCGCGTCGTAAGTGGTCAACCGGATTTACACCGTGGCTGACGCGTATGTCATAATAGCGACCGCCGTCCCGATGAGCTTGAGATCGCGCAATCGCGTGGGCGAGCTTACAACACCTCGCACCATACCCCGCGAGGGCTCTCCACGCACGTCGCGACCACCCGGCAAGGTGATGAGAGGCTCATTTCAGCTTCTTATAAAATTAAGCGGACGATGACTGACTCTGCATCCCGAGCCCTCCTGCCTTTTCCCTCCCTCAAAGTTTCTCATCCTGAGCTATCTCATCTCTGCTTGACTCCAAGCCTTCTTCAAATATGGTCGAAGTCGCGACCGCTTCTCCTGTCCCTGTTCTAGTTCCTCAGGACTCCGTTTCTCCCTTATCGGATGTCACGCTACCTGTGGATTTCCAACAAAACACTCCGGAGATACAACCAAAGCAGGAAGGGGACAGCAAGCATCCTACCCGCGACCCTCACGTCCTTCCCACATTCTCGGAACGTTCCCAATCTCCGATCCTTTATCTCCCCCCGCTGTTGTCCTCCCTCCCGGTCGGGGTGATAGTTCCCAATCACCCTACCTCTTCGCCGGCATTTGCCTCTCCCAGTGCTCCACGACCCCTTGCTACCGACTCCCGGCTTCCATCTATCGACGGGCCGTCGCTGTCCTTGCACCGTGCTCTGCACCACTTCCGCCCCGTGACCGAGGACTACGCCACGGTACCATACCACGAAGCGTTCAACTGGAACGAGCTGGAGCTCCCCGAGGACGAGGAGCGCGAGTGGTACTGCGTCGCGTTCCGCAGCAAGCGGAAGGAGGGGAGCGACGGAGGACGTGAGTACATCCTGACGTGATCCGCCCCCTCGCGTGCGCAACACCTCTGACGAACGCGTTCTCGCACCATCCAGCGCTATACGACGCGGACAGGAAGGCGCACGAGGAAGCTGTGCAGAACGGTGGTGTACGTCTCGCGACATCCTTTCTCACACTGCATCCAGAGTGCGGTGGCTAACCGGTTTGTGTTGCGTGCGCAGTTGATCCTGTACTGGTATGGCACTCCCCACCCGACGACAAGCCTTAACCTCGCCACCTGCATTTGGCAATCTCGCGCTCACGCGGCTGCGGCTAACTCGCGTCCCCACCACATACGCGCGATGCGCCTCGCCGCGGCGTCATACGAGCGGTACGAGCTCGAACGGTACCGCCTGAAGAAGGTCAAGGGCGAGCCCCGCGTGCATGTGGAGCCCTATGACGGCGGCGACGTCGGGTTTTAGAGGGTTCGATTGGTAGTCATCCGATCGTTACTGACTTGTCTCGGCTTTCTTGTGCTATACCTGCTTTGCATCGCTTTCGATTCATGTTGGCTGTCGTGGAGGTTTCGCATATCGTTATATCCCCAGGTTTGACTAGGCTTGTCTCTGTTACGGTAGAGTAGATGCTGCTTGCACACGAGACTTGAAGCACGCTATTGGAACCCTGAATATATCCTGAGACTCGTAGATCACTAACTGTCTTGTTCGCTCCTCGCCACGAGTGGTACAGGACTCTTCTGCATGATATGTGAGTCTGGGTGTGGGATTCCCGCTTGCATGCTCGGTCTACAAGTGCAAAAAGTGGGTCTCAGGCGACCACTGAGGCCTATGGCTCCAACAGGACCAACCTGCATAGTTGTTAAAGCTGCCTGTGTTCGAGGTGGCGGTGGGTCTGTGCAAGCTCGTCTAATCTTTCTATGCACAGCAAAATACGGGGAGTGCGCCGAATTCTTCTCGATACGAGGCGACAGATCTACATGCTATGTCGCTATCATAGTCGCATGTGGTTCGGACATATGATTTGCCGAAGTTAGAAACGGTAATGCGTACTCCTAAGACGACAGCCCAGTCCAGGTCATGTATAGCACGGAACTATAGGCTACATGTCGGGGGTATCGAGCGGCGAACGTGGCATGTCGTGACCTCAGCCTCAACAGTGATATTGGTCTATTTAACGAACGACTTCGAACAGCCTTAGTTGGTCCAAGACTCGATCGAATCCTTCGACTCCTGTGAGCAGCCCTGCAGACTACTCTCGTCTTCTTCGATGTCATCATCGATATTGCGTCGATTCTCGTCGGACTGCGTCGAGACGTCGGATATCAATTGGCTAGCACATCGTTTCGCGTCCTCCTTAGTCCCTTCGTTTGCCGATTGAGCGGCGGTAGCTGGCTCATTCTGACATACATTCGCTGACAGTCCCCGGTCAGCAGGAGCGACGACTCTCATACGAGGTCGATGCACGTTCTGCATCTAAATAGCGTCAGCTTGGGCGCATGCGAATATACCCATGCACTCACTCCCGTGTGGCCTTCCGATCTGATGGCCTCGTCACTCCCGGAGTCCTCCCCGCCCGCCTCGTCCCCGTCACCCGGGTTGTCTCGCAACGGCGAGATGTAAATACCAGAACCCGGCGCGAACGGGAGCCGCCCCGGAGGACTTGATCTCGTCTCCGTTGACTCTGGATCGTAGCGGTCGGCGACGCCGCGCTGGTGTTTACGTCCGGGGCTACAACGGGCCGTCGCCGCCCCGAGTTCTGGTCTCGATGCTGGGGCGGGAGGGAAGTCCTGATCTGCGTTGTGTCGCCGTGGACGACCAGTTGCCGGAGGATGGCTACAGGTCTCGCTCGCCTTGGGCGTTGAGGGTGGAGGAGCGTCCCGAGGTGGGACGATCCACGCAAAGAGGCCGCCATCCTTCTCTCGGTCTCCGAGATGTTTCAGAACGGCTTGCTTGTGGGGACTGGCCGCTACGGGGGTCGAAATGCCAGTGAGGCGCAAAGATGCAGGAGAAGAGTCGGTTCTCGGGACGCGAAGTCGTGTGGGAGACGCGACCGGGGTGGGTATATGCCCTGCTGGCTGGCTCCAGAACGCTTCTTCAGAACCAGGATGCACATGGCGAGGCGAGGAGGCAGAGGACGCATCTGCAACAATATCTCCACGATCGAATCTTTCCCACTTGAAGTCGAGAGCATCAATATCGACGTGTGGGCGAGCGACCTCGCGGTGGTCATTAGCTATGAAGGGGGATTCTGAGAGCTGGGCGATTGCATGGGTGTCGTCCCTGCTGTGTAAGGTGAGCAGGAACCGTTCCACAGAAGAACTTGAAGACCGTGGTGATGGCGAGTTCTGCTTCATTCTTGACTTTTTCGAAGCTGGGCGAGAGTAGAACAGATCCGGTGTTGGCTCCCGTCGTGGCGAGCGACTAGGCGGAGAGAATTCCGGCCCAAGGTCAGTGAGCTTGTTTCGCAACACTTTGCTCCGAGGAGCCGTACAGAGCCGATCTGTTGAAGATGCCGCAGGTCCGGGGGTAGAGAATGGCAAGATATACGCAGGCGGCAATAGAGGATGTGACACTAGAGTTGTCGTATCTTGATCATGTGAGTAGACGAGATGCTGTACATATTGTGGTTCATCAATGGATGGCAGATGTAGTGTCGTAACTACTCCTCGCGCTGTTGAATCGGTAGACATATTCGGGCCGGGCCTCGAAAAAGGCTTGAAGGGTGATGCGACGCCCGCTTCAAAAAGAGTATGGGAGCTCACTAGATCAGGAGACGAGTGAGGCATCATATCGATGTGTGAGCGAGCACGGACAGGGGGTGCAGGTAGTGGCAGTGTCGAAGCGGGACCTGGGGTCGAGAAGGGAAACGCCGGATTCGTGGTATGGTGTATAGAGTTTCGAACATCTGCATCGCGACCTTCGGCAAATCGCTCTCGCCTTCCTGCTTCAAGGGCAGTAGAGGTCGGTGTTAGTATAAGGTTAGTATATGGTGAGCTTTTGGCGGTAGGAATGGTGTCAAGAGCTGGCGGATGAGCAGGACTTGTGAACGCAAAAGGGGGTTCATCCATAGAAACAGTGTCGGAAAACGCCTCGGAAACAAGGTGACTAGGTCGTTCATGTGCATCGGGGTCGTCCGGAAGTAGAAGACGGAGAGGGTTTCGAGTCTCCAAGGCAGAGATAGTACCTCTCAGCCAAGCTGGTACAGGGAGACCACCATTATTTTGTACCTCACTGAAGGCCCCTGGGTCGAACGGGTCATGACCCTTCGCAGAGGATCTGGGCTTGCCCATCTTGATGATAGAAAAATCTTGGCCCAAACTGCTGCCACTGCGGCGGCTATATGCGTCTGTCGGCGTCCGAGGAGTATCGTTGGTAGCTGTAGACGTAGATGAGGCTACACGAGAGCGCCGCTCGGAGCGGGATGTCCGGATAGGTGTTGGATGCATGGCGTTAACAGTATGGATCATGCGATCGTACCGCGAATTCAAGTTCTCGGTTCTCTGCCGTTTGTTAGATCGACCGGAAGCTATGGGCAGAAAGTAGTGTCATGCTTTGTAGAGGAAGACAAGCATATCGCTCACCAAGGAAACTCCTTTCTCTGATTCGTCTACACGGAGAGCACCCTCAGAATGCGGAGTGCTCACACTGGAAGGCATCATTTCTCGTTCTCACCGGCTGGAATCGAGTCCATTGATGAGGAGTCTACGCTCGTCCATATGCATCGGGTAGTCTGAGCTATTGAGTATATGCGTGGCTGCGCGCAGTGAGGATGTAGGTCCGAAGAAGAACAAGACGCGTCCTCGATTAGACAGAGTCGCGCGACGCGTTTGGACGTCTCGGGTCACGTGCTCGGATGCAGAACACAAATCACATCAATATTAATCCTGGTGCCCTCTTCAAGTGCATGGAGAAGATATCGTGGAACGCATTCTGGATCTGATAACAAGAGGCCTCATATCAAAACAGTTTCCCATTCTGTAGATAGTTAGTGGGCTGTAGTAGTGCCTACATAGCGGTTGAGAAGGGTAATGGGCGCTCGAGAGCCGGCGGGCGTCATCTGGGGGAAGCGAAAGTCGCCATCGGGTACGTCGATTTCGCAATGCCTGTGCCGCGGCTGCCGTACCGAGCACTCGATCGACCATCATCGCGTCCAAAAAAACTCGTACTCAACGCCCACCATGTCTCCTGCAACCCATCTCAAAGATTCCACTTCCTCCATCGCTGTGTTGCCGCCGTGCAATATGGGCCAATGTTGGGCTGACTGTAAACGCTGATTCTGATTACGTGCTCCTGCCGAACGACCGCTGCCGCACGTTATCGTGAGCTCGCGACGTGCTCGCAGGCACTTCCCCACAGCCAGATTCACCGATTGCTCATCCGCACACACTGATGCTGAAGCCTGGAATCATCGCCGAGTCTGCCTCTTTCGCCCCTCACCAACCTCGATGGCGCGAGGGAGCCTCGCGATGGCTCTATCTCGTCTTTCTCGCGCTCTGTACTGGGTACTTGCTTATTGATAACTGGACCTGGAGGCTTCCCACATCGGCGGTCGGCAAGTGCTCGAACACGCAAGGAAGTGACCGTACTCGCGTGCCCTCTGGCACACGCAACCCGGCCTACCTTATACGCGCTACACATGGAGCGGTAGCGAGCGAGAACGAGATATGCTCAAAGATCGGCGTGAACGTGCTCAAGGAAGGAGGGAATGCGGTGGACGCAATGGTTAGCACGACACTATGCATCGGCGTTGCGAACATGTTCTCGTGAGTTTCTGAGTCTACGCGATGGTCCGGACGTCCATGCTCACGAGAGCAGTTCGGGCATCGGTGGAGGAGGATTCATGACCGTCCGCATCCCACCTGCGACGCCTAACGCATCGTCTGAGGTCTTCTCGATTGACTTCCGCGAAACCGCCCCGGCGTTGAGTAACAAGACGATGTATGTTGACAACCCCCTCGCTTCACGCTGGGGTGGGCTCGCAATCGGTGTGCCGGGAGAGCTGCGCGGGCTCGAGGAGGCGCACAGACGGTGGGGCTCCTTGCCGTGGAGGACGCTTGTCAAGCCCGCAGCTGATCTGGCAGAGGGTTGGGCTGTCCCGAAAGAGCTGGGGCGTAGGCTACAGGTTAGCATTTTCCTCCATTGTTTCGGTTGTGGGTGTATAGATTGACCGCGTCGTGTGAGACAGTGGTTTTCTGACCTGATGCTCAACGAGCCTGACTGGCGAGCCATCTTCGCTCCAGAAGGTCGCCTTCTCCGAGAGGGCGACATCATTCGTCGGACGAACCTGTCCCGCACGCTCCGAACCATCGCCGATGAGGGTGCCGACGCGTTTTACAAAGGACATATCGCGGATGCCATCGTAAACAAAGTCCGGGCGACCGGAGGGATACTCGTGCGCGAAGATCTCGAAGGCTACAAGGTCCGGGTCTCGCGAGCGTTACAGGGCACCTACCGCGGACGCAGGATCTACACGCCTCACGCGCCTACGTCTGGTCCGGTCCTGCAGCACATGCTCAATTTGATGGAGCACTACGACGAGCTCGTCGAGGACGGCCGGACGACAGTCAACGTCCACCGGCTTGTCGAGGCTATGAAGTGTGAGTGCGAGCCGGTTCACGGCTATTGTACTTGGCTGATATTGCTTTTGCAGTCGGTTTTGCAGCTCGGTATGTCGCTCGCCATGAACGATCTTACAAGGTCTAACATTAGGTTGAAGTACGTGGATTGGCGATCCTACCTTCCATGACAATGTCACGCGCATCTCCGAGATACCCACGAAGGAGTATAGTGATCAGGTCTTCCCGAACATCACAGACGTGCGTCGAATTTGACCTTCCGACCTTACTGTTTTTGACGCGTGGTTGCAATGCAGGATACTACGCATACGCCTGAGTATTACCATCCTGTATATGACGTAGTCGTCGATCACGGCACCGTAGGTACTTACGTACGTCTGGCGAAGACGTTCACTCAACTGTTTGTTAGAGCCATTCATCTATCGTTGACAAGGATGGTATGGCAGTCGCTCTAACCACCACTGTGAACCTCGTTTTCGGCTCGGCAGTTATGGATCCCGTTACTGGCGTTATCCTCAACGACGAGATGGATGACTTCTCGACGCCCGGTAGACCTAATGCCTTTGGCCTCCAACCTTCGCCATGTCAGTACACAACCGCATCTATCCATGCTTCCGTGCTGATGAACTTGCGGCACAGATAATTACCCCGAACCGGGGAAGCGCCCCCTTTCCTCCACGGTCCCCACGATCATGGAATACGACGACGGATCGTTCTACCTGGCCATCGGAGGCTCGGGTGGCTCGCGCATCTTCCCCGCCGTCTTCCAGGTGCTGCTCAACCTCGATTGGGGCATGGACGTCAGCGCGGCGATCGAGCACGGGCGTTTGCAGGACCAGCTGTTCCCCACGGAGGTCGACGCGGATGATACGTTACCGCCCGAGCTGTTGGCGGGTCTTCGCGCGAAGGGGCACAACGTCACCGGTGAGTGGTTGCTTGTGGCGTGAGTGGTCGTATAGCGCCTGAGGGACTGGGTCTTGTGATGCAGTGTCGGACACGAACCGGGTTGCGTCTGTGGTCCAGGCTGTCGTCAACCGGGATGGCACTATCTGGGGTGAGCATGTTTGTATTGGCTTTGGGCGGAAGAGCTTTGGAGGGCTGACCGCGTGTTCCCTATTGGATATCTTTAGCTGCCAGCGATTCGAGGAAGAATGGGATCGCAGCGGGGTATTGACGGGTGCCAGCGTGTTGTTCTGAACTGCTATAATATTACACTAACAGACTCCGGTACCTTGAGCGTGCGTGCACGAGCGTCCTCTTGGCTAAACAGGCGGACACCTGTAAAGCAGGTCGTCCCGCATATTTTTCCGCTGGCCTTCATGGAAGGACGGAACATTAGTAGACTACATACGCGGACGCGGCCCGGAGTGCCTCTCGCACAGGTGCGTCATCACGTGTCCGCGGTGTCCCGACGGACCAGCGAGCATCACGTTGGACCCTTCCTTCAGACCTTCCATTCGCGGCTTCATAGATGTCTGACTCCTCGTGCGTCGCTTCGTGCGATCAAAAGCTGAGGCAGAGAGATCGTGATCCAGACTGCTGGCCACGGGATACAATAGGCGCAGTCAGGGATACCGTCCTGCCAGCAAGGGTAAACTTCGCCAAAATGTACCTTCGCGAAGAATTGTCGGGCTGTGTCCTGACTTGTGGCATCATTGTCGCAGCAACTTTTGCCACCGCCCGTTGAATATATATGGCCTCATGGTGACGGGATGCTTCAGGTGTTGCTCCGTAGCATCTTACAGACACCATGCTCAAGCCCACCGGTCTGGTTACGTTGGCTCTCGCGCTCGCGCGTTTCACGAATGCTGCTTCTCCCGAGTGGGGACAGGTAAGCCATTGGTCTCCTTGAAGCGTTCCGACATGGTGTTGACGTTCGTACACTAGTGCGGCGGCATTGGCTGGACTGGAGATACTAGTATGTGGCACAGTTAGCAATAGGATACATCGATGCTCATTCGCGAGGCAGCTTGTGTCTCGGGTACCGTGTGCACGGTCCTGAACGCGTACTACTTTCAGTGCTTACCAGGAGCGAGTACCACAAGCGCCCCCCCTTCCACGTCGTCGGCCCCGACATCTACCTCCCCAGCCAGCACCTCGAGCGTTCCCGCACCGCCTGCCGCCACAGGCTTTGTGGGCGTATCTGGCCAGAAGTTCACTCTCAATGGCCAGACCTTCCCTCTCGTTGGGTGAGAGACCTGCAGTTCCTTCAGTCAACCAATAGTGTACTCAAGCGGTTGCAATTTGTGTAGGGCCAACTCGTACTGGGTCGGCTTGATGGGATACAGCACCTCAGATATGAACAAGGCATTTTCTGACATCGCCGCCACTGGAGCAACTACCGTCCGCACCTGGTAAGCTTCATCAAGTTGCACAAGATGAAATCGTTGACCCATGGCCTCATAGGGGGTTCAATGATGTCACGACTGCCAACGGCATCTACTACCAGCTTTGGCAGAATGGCAAAGCCACCGTGAACACGGGTTCCACTGGTCTGGGGAACTTCGGTATGGACGAATTTCTGGTCACCCTTGAGCCACCAGTGCTGATCTGGTTCTGTAGACAATGTCGTCGCTGCTGCGAAGGCCAACGGCCTTAGGCTCATCGTCTCTCTGTAAGCTTGTATGTTGCAGCACACGATACGTAACTGATCCCCGGTTGCAGCACGAACAACTGGAGTGATTATGGTGGCATGGACGTCTATGTCTCCCAAATCACGGGAACGCAAAACCATGACTACTTCTACACGAACGCCAATGTCATCGTACGTCTGAGACGCAATATGTTTTGGAATGAAATGTTTTGCCTGACTCGCTAGGCAGGCTGCGTACAAGTCGTACATCCAGACCTTCGTTGGCCGATACAAGAACGAGCCGACGATCCTTGCTTGGGAGCTTGCCAATGAGCCGAGGTGCACAGGCAGCACTGGGTAGGTTTGCCGCACCTCTGGTCTACAGCTGAAGCTGAGTGTAGCCGTGCTCAGTACGAGCACTGGTACGTGCAACACCGCGACTATCACGCAGTGGGCAAGCCAGATCTCGGCGTTCATCAAGTCAATCGACTCAAACCACCTTGTCGCCATCGGGGATGAGGGCTTTTTCAACGAACCGAGCAACCCAAGTTACCCCTACCAGTGCGTCTGTCATGGTTCGCTGAAACTCAGAAAACAAAGTCTAACAAGTTTGACAGGGGATCAGAGGGTATTGATTTCAATGCGAACCTGAACATCAGCACTCTTGACTTCGGCACAGCTCATGTAAGCTTGCTGAATATCGTTTCGTGGTGACTGAACTCATCTCCTTTGCAGCTATACCCTGTGCGTCGTATATGGAGAGTCAACCGCGACTTTACTGATATGTGCAACAGGGAAGCTGGGGAATCACGTCTGACCCGACTGGATGGGGCTCTCAGTGGATCACAGACCACGCGACGTCCGGGAAGGCGGTGAACAAGCCAGTCATCCTGGAGGAATTTGGCGTAACAGATGATCAAGCGTCTACATACACAACCTGGTACAACACCATCATCACGTCCGGCCTTACCGGGGACCTCATTTGGTGCGTTGGCGTTTGAAACCAATTTTAGTTCGATCTGCGAGAAGCCTTCGCACCTCAAGGCGTATTGCGAAAGCTCTGCTATTTCAGTGGACTGACAACATCCCGTTTGATAGGCAAGCAGGGTCGCACTTGTCCGCCGGAAACACGCCAGACGACGGTTACACCGTATGTGACTGGCGCTTATGGTATTCTTAGAACTACACTCACCATTCTCATGGCAGATCTACCCCGATGACCCCGTGTATCCGATCGAGTCTCAGCATGCGGCTGCTATCAAAGCTCGGGGATGAAGCCGTCGATTGCAAAGCAGGTGAAAAGAAGATCTCGGATTGTCTCATATCCCGTATATAGTTTTGCTCGCCTATCAGAGTTATACTATCACACCACCCTGAAAGCGCACTGCAGCTGTGAAGCGGCTAGACTCCTTGTGACTCCACCAAAACCTACTCACTTTGCCGCGTACTCCGACGCTCACGGGCAGGCTGATTTGGTGACTATCAAACACCCAGATGATATTGGACGCCATGATCGGCCGATGCCTACAAATTGCTCTTGCCTGGCACGAAGTACCTTGTGTGGTCGTGCATGTGCACGGAGCTCGCTTGCGTCCAAGGTGATGATATTCCGAGTCGGCGCGTACAACGAGGTACAACGGTGATGCCGTGGGCGCTCTTTTCATCTGCCTACAGTTAAGCCTCTATATGTATGTCACCGCAAGTGAAGATCAGAGGTACATCCTATCGGCACTGTTCTCGTTCTGCATGATTGCATGACGGCAGATTGGGCCGCACCGATTGAGGTCGAGCTAAAAGGCGTCAGTACTAGTTTGCAGACGGCATCGTGGTGGTGTAATGATGTATGCGTTATGTAAGACTACTTAGATTCCTAAGGGCCTGTTCGGCAAAGAGTTGGAGTTAGAGTTACCGGCATTTCATGCCCAAATATAGTAATAATATCTCGGTTTTCAATCTCGAGAAAACTCGAGTTACTCGGGCGAGTGCATGCGTTCGGATGCCTCCCAGTAACTCCGGGCGGTTATTATCAGCTCAGGTCATAACTTATCTCGAGGCTCTACCCTTTTGGCAGCCTGCTTGATTCTCTCTCTATAGAGTATTGGGATGGCTACCATGACCGGCGTAGATTGTGATCAGACATCCGAGACCATCCTACTTGAGGGATTAGGGCAGGCTACTACCAAGGCCCGCCCAGTCAAAACAATGACAGTTACTGCTATAATAGCCTGTCTTCGGCGCTCTATTTGAGCCTGATGGATAGCTTGGTGAATTTAGACAGCTGCTCTTGTGTGGACCATGGTGAAGCAGGGATGAAGCAGAGCCCATCTGATAAGCCATAGCTATTGGTATACTAGATACATGTACGAGTTCAGGGCGCTTGTCTCCTCCGGACTTCACGGGTACTCCGCCCCTGTAACTCTAACTCGCGCAGAAATCCTCGGAAATGCCGCCACGTGACAAAATGCCGGTGACTCGTAACTCCAACTCTTTGCCGAACAGGCCCTAAACTACATCGTACCATCAGCTCCCTCTCGCCGCAACCTTATCCGCCCTCGTGCTCACGTCCCGAGTCCAAGTACTCCGCGATCTCAAGCTCGATGCCTTGAGTGGACTTCATTCATTCATCTGTCGCACACCAGCATCGCCCGTGACTCACCACCATTCCAAATACAATGAATTCGGAAGCCGCATATGTAGTCGCGCCTGCGCCAGCGGTATACCTTCAATTCCTCGAAGGCAGCACTCGTATTTACCTTTTTTTTGACACCGCACCGTCCACCTGGCAGGATATCGTAGTAGATCCAAGACTTCGAACGCAGTCTTAGTCGGCCCCGTCCTGAATTACGACTCTGCATCCGGCACTATCACTACTCCGACGGCAGATGGTCTCTTTTGTCGAGCGGAAATTCATGAATGTCGACGTCCAGGATACTGTAACTATTAACTCCTAAGAATGTCTTTGCAACACTCATAACCCTCGACGATGAGTGAAACCCATCCTCACGCTGATCACCTCACGGTGGCCCAGTACCTCAAGCGCCAGGTCTCTGGGGACAATTTCGGTTTGCATAGGTCAACGCATGCAACAGGCTCAGAGTATCTTCGGTCCGATCTACGGTCTCGATGCGGCGTGTCTAGAGAATACCCTCGACGTGTATTTCGGAGATCACGAGGCTTTCGTGCTAGGCTCTTTGTCATGTCACGTCATGTATCTCCCTGGGCATACACGGCTATGGCATTGGGAAGGCCGTCTGTACTGCTGATTCCATCTTCAACCTGGATACTTCTCGGGCATGGGCCGGGGATGGTGAGTTGTGATTGATGTTCGCGCCTCCAGCCTGTTGTTGGATTTGCTCGTGCTAACTTCTTAGATGGGAATGTCGAGCTCCTTTACCAGGTAGGATCTTCTGCCCGAAATTTTACGTTTCACGATGCTTATGATGCCGGTGCGACGTCCACACAACGCCTTCTCTCCTTGCCTGGGGATTATCGCCTCTCTATGTGGGTCACGATCATCCATATGACCGTGATCGAACATCTCGGCTATTACGCCCTTCGCTGCAGGCCAGTATTCGCGCGGGCAGGCTTCCGCCACCGGGTGCGAAGGGAAAGGTCTTGATGCGCAATCCGACCCGGGCCGAATTTCAATTGGAGCAGAAAGGCTCGTCGTCGCCTAAGTTTCAAGCTGTTCCGCCTTCATTTGTACTCGCATAGCCCAGTCAGCCCTTGGCCATCACTTCGACACATACATATTCGGGCGCAACTCATGCGTGAGTCAGGTTCTCATCAGGAGTCTCAATCAAGTCTGACCAACCCAACCGGCCGTCTTATGCCATGTTGTGGCAGTGCAGTGCAGCATCGGAAGCACAGTGATTCGGACTCGACGGCCAAGCCCCTGTCGATTTCCCATCTCGGTGCAACGGATCGTTACTCCTGCCACATACATGGAGACCATGATTTCAGCAGTACGATCTTGGTGTATCATTAGTGATCGGCTCATGTCCAACCTTACCTATGCGTTTCGGTAACGCATTCGACTCCGGTCATATAAGGCAACTCTTGCCGCCATGGACGGACTCATGCGGCAATGGCAGTTTCCCGCAAGGCCTTTCCTGCGATGGACTGTAGCTCTATCCTCCAACGAAAGGCACACTTACCTCTCGAGATCTGGCAGCACATCTTCCTGCACGCATGCACCGACGGAGGGCACACCGGCTGTTCCTTGGCACTCGTCTCGAGGTTTTTTCACCTTGCATCCCACCCCGTTCGCTTCAACTCACTCGCATTCACTTCTCTACGAGGAATCGAACAGTATCTGGCATACGTGGAACGTGTTACTAGCATTCATGCAAGACCACCCCAAGTACGCCATCTTCTCTTGTCCTTCGCGCGTCCTCCCTCGGACAAATCAAGTTCGGACATCAGCCGGTGGGAAGACGTTTACACAGATACTCTGCAATCCGAGGCATGGTATCGAGCACGACAGGCGCGTGAGCAGGAGAAGGATGCCTGGGACAGGCGTTTCATGGTTCTCCTACCGGACCTGCTCGACCTCGTTGGGTCCTACCTCGAGACTTTCACCCTCCTACAGTCGGATGCGTTGATCATCCCCCCTGTCCACCACCGACTTCCACGATTGCGATACCTGACTCTTCTTGTGGGTGTCACGGTCATGCTGAATGAGGAACTGCGTAATTCCAGCGAGCATGGGACTACTAGTGGCGGATCAGCGCTATCTAGTTCGGATATGCTACCATACTCACCCCTTCACACGCAACCCTCTCCGCCCGCTCTCTCCTACAACCACCGTTCCTATCCGAAGAAGGCTCACGACAACGCGCAGTCGATATCTGCGACGCCATCTTTCGGGCACGTCGAACACGCGCGCTTCCCCGTGCTCGAGCGCCTGCACATCATCTGTGGCCGCCACCGCGACTGGACGCTCCGCGATGCGCTCGTCCACCTGCCGCGTCTTGCGCCCAACCTCACAAACTTGCGGATCTCCAACGCCACATACACCCACGGATCGCATGAGTGCGTCGCCTCGTTCTTGCACGACGCGTTAGGCATCCCCCGGCGGACCGAGGGTCAAGAGAGCACGACCCCTACCCAAGGGCCGGGCGGACAGTCTGTGGCTGGTGCCGAGCGCGAGCCCCTAGATCAGTCAAACCTCACGCTGCGATCGCCCGCAATGCCCCGCCTGCGCCGCGTCGCGGTACATTCTATTCCCCCGCCAGCCGGTGACCGATGTGAGATGTCACACAAGGGCTACCGCGCGCTCGCGGGTGCCATGCAGGAGCTGCGAGAAGCATGCGACCTGACTTCTGACACGCGCTTGCGATGGACGGAGAGCGAGCGCGCGAGACACCAGGTTTGGGAGGAAGTCTGCTGGAAACACTGGACTGATACGATCGAGGGCCGCGAGGGGGTCTGGGAAGGCTGGTAGAGAGGCCCAGGTTTGCTAGGTGATATTGTGCGACTGCGTCTATCGCGAGTATGCGACTCGGGTACACTACTATCACTGGTGACATCTGCCTTGCTCTGTACCAAGCGCGTTCATTTGTTAGATTGGAAAGTAATGGTACATAGCTGCGTGCAACGATGCGATGCATCACCGAGATCATCATCATTATGTCCACTCGATTTGCAATGTGGCCTGCTATGGACGAGATTATTATGTAATGTCCGTCTATGTATCTAAAGTTGCAAAGATTTTTGACGGCTTGATACCATGACCTCTGGCGAACCCTGGCCCCATATAGCTTCACGCGATATTCGTTGCATCCTCGAAACACTCTAAGGGCAGTGTCTGCAAAGGTTTCCGGTGACGATAGGTTGAGAATAGGCTAGAGGGATGTTGAACGAATGTCAGCAGCCTTTTTGCCAATGTTTCGCACCGCCTTCCCCATAGCGACCGCAATCACGCAGGAGAGTAGTAGTGCTCGTATGTGCATGGATGGACCTATTACTAACTTCTTGATTGGGTAGTATAACAGCCTATACCGTCACCAAGTCTAACCGCAGAGGATCATGATGACGACTCCACTGTACTACGGCAAGCGCGCATGCCTACCGGCTCTCTTTTGATCTGCGTCGCCGTACTGTCCAAGACGGATACGTGACCAGATGAACTGACACTACTCACTGTCCTGATGACCCGACAACGCACCTCGCGTTCTTGGTCTGCGAAGACTTGCAAGGTCAGATGATCACCTTGCTGTTGCATTCTCACAGCTTGAAGACCACTGTTCGGAACAGCTGTTCGGTCAGAGCTCTCATTGGCCCCTATCTCCCAACTATACTCAGTGACCAAGCTACTTGTGGGATCATATCGCACAGTAGCTCTTGCCGTCTCCCGTTTTCAAGCGTTTTCGAGTGACTCTACTCCACCGGCCCCTGACTAAAGCCTACTTGCATTATGTTAGTCACCTGTCGGCGACCCTCTGACTCTTTCGCATCCATGCAACCTCGTGTCAGTTCTTCTCCGAAACTCTATGCTGTGCCTGGCTAAGTTAACAATCAAATTGTAACCGAGAGCAATGGGCTCTCACAACAGTAGGCATGATAAAGCGAGTGGATGTAGGTGGTTCAAGAGGCGGCTCTCGCCCTCTGCCAGTCATGACTGAGGAAGCTCTGCGGCTCGGTATCCTCAAAGACTCGGGTGCGCCCCAAGGAAGTACAGACTACACCACAATTGTTCTCTTGCATGGCTATGGATGGCATGGCGGTACGCTCTCTCTCCCGGTACTATCCGGTCTGGAAGCTCAACGGCCATTATATCTACGCTGCCGTTGCAAGGTACATTCGCGAGGTTGATTCCTATCGCTGGCCGATACAACGCTCGCGTTGTGCTAGTGAACAGACAAGACTATCCGGGAGCCAAGCCGTTCACACTAGAAGAGCGAGCCGAGCTCCTGAAAGCGGCTATCGAGCTGAATACAAATCCTCTTTCCGCGAGGGACAGGCTCGATGCGCTCATGAAGGGGCAAGCACGCGAGGTCTATAATCTCCTGATACACCTCGTGGCCTATCATGACATTCCTCCAGCACGCCCCGAGGCAAACACGGGCGGTATCATCATCGGAGGATGGTCATTTGGGGCGACCTGGATGGCGGCGCTCCTGGCAAATGTTGCGTCGTTCCCTGTGCATGGTATCGAACTAGGCCGATATGTGCGGAGAGTTATCTTTTTTGGTGTGTTCCCCGCTTCCCCAAGAAGGTGTGAGATCTAAACGTTTCGTTTCAATGTAGACGCCCCCGACGTAGCTCTCGGCTTTCCGACTCTCTCGGATCTCTACTTCCCTCTGACAGACCGGACGATCCCAGCTGAACAACTCGCACAACTATTCGCCGAATGGGTCACCGCATACTTTCACCAGGGAGACATTCCCGAGCAATATGAATCTCGACGCTATCTCGCATCCCCACCTCCTACGTTCACCGTGATGACGGAGGAGGAACGACAGTCCACCCAGCACCATACCCCGGGTGACTCCAGGGGGGGCTCAGATCATCTTCTCATGGGCAGTGGGTACGAAAGCGGACTGTTCGCATCGCTTCGCAAGAATGCGTTGCGCCTCCCACCTCCGAACGCGTTCCTGGTAGGGGATGCTTGGAAAGATGTTGAAGTCCGCAACCTTTGGTGCGACCACTCGTTCTGGCTCGCACTGTGGAATGAGGTCAACTTGCGTAGAGAAATAGAAGAGGAGAGGAGGGCCGGGATATCCTTGCGGCCCGTGACGTTTGTACGGGTGCGAGGCGCTAACCACTTTGTGAGTATAGGGAGAATGTAGGCTCGTGGTGGACGCTGATCACCAAGCGTCTTCCTCACCAGGTTCATTGGGACGAACCCGAGCGCGCAATGTGTGCAATCCTCGAGCTTGTCCCTGCTGACGGCAATGATACTAAGGCGAAGCTGTAGCCACAGATGAGCTCTTCTGTAATCCAACTACTCGGTCACCCGAATGTTAACCCTTCTTGAAGCAACTGGGCCATGAAGAAGTCTCTTAGGGCATGCAAATAGACAGGGTGTCAGCGCTCCTTTCCCGCTGTCTTCCCTCGCGATGAGCACATTCGTACGGTCCTGATTCAAGAAGCCGGAGCCCGAGATAGATTCGAGGTTCGCCTGTCTTCCAAGCGGCTTCTGCCCGAGAGGGATTTTGCGTTCACTCTGGGCAAGTGTCCCCCGAGCCTGAGTCTAATTGGCGTCGTACAGTACTCCACGAGTGTGTGCTGGATCGCGCGTCCTCTTCACACCCTATATGTCGTTTCCCGGCACAAGGGTTTCGGCGACATCCGTATTCAGATTGGACCTGTGACCTGGGTGCTCATGATATCCTCGACGTCCCTTTAGTCTATCCGCAAGCCCTGTCCTCGCTCAATGTCAGACACGGTTGCAGGCATGGTAGACCGTGACTGCTGTCTCGGACCTTGCGTGGTTCTCGGTTTGGCACTGTCTTGAGCTGCTTTGATACTCATCCGCTGCCATATTCGTGTGTCATCATCCTCAACGTATCGCGGTGTAATGCCTACCTTGACCTTGTTGAAGTCTTGATTAGACCCTCCGATGCGCTTAGCGATGCGGGGTCTGCGACCCAAACCGGCCCGCTCTCCCGACGGGCTGCCACGAAGTTACGTCGTTCCACGTGATCGCGACCGGGGGAGGGCGCTTGTGGCGCTTCTCCTTCTGAGGTCACTGCGATTGTCGTCCTCCGTGGCCGCCTGTCAGACCTTGCGCTCTCTTCACTCCCTCCGTCTGCCTCCTCTTTGCCTCCAGCACCCGCATCAGCTACTCCAGGCACAGGCTAGCACTACTGTCTGCGGCACATATAAGCCTGCTTGACGCAGTGCAGCCCAACCCCGCGCTCTTCTGTCTTCCCACCGATCGTTCAGGCGCTACATCCCGTCTAGTGACAACAGACCGTCTCTCAGCCATCATGGTCTTTGGATTTTGGTCCCAACCTGCAGGAAAGACGAAGGAGCCCGCTACTGAGGGTAAGCTGCCGTCAGAGCCCACCAAACCGTCTGCAGAGGCGGCGCAACCTGCGCGTGAGCTCAAGCCTGCTGGCGAGGCTGCAACACCCGCAACCTCGGGCAACGGAGCAGAGGTCCCTACGCAGGAGGAGGAGCCCGTACCTTCTGCCGGAGAACAGAGCTCAGCACCTGCTGACCCCGAGCCCCGCCCCCCATCGCAGAAGCGCTTCTCTTGGCGTATTCTTGTCCAGCCCAAGAACACCCAAGATCGTAAGCATACACTTCCCCCAGCACGCGAGGAGGCCGAGAAGGAGGCGAGGGCTCGCCAGGAGTACGTTGAACGCAAGATGGTCCGCACCCGCTCCGAGAGGAGGGCGCGCGACTCCGCGCTGGTCGTGCGGGAGCTCATCGTTGGCCCTTTCTCCGTCCCATCCGCTGCCCTTCCGAAGAGCTCGAAGGTTGCAGTGACGGCGGCCTCGAACCAGAAGGTGCACAAGGTGAAGGCACAGTTGTTGGAGCCGAAGCAGGCGAACAAGGTTATCGCACAGCTGCGCCAGCTCCCAAGCTCGGACGTGCCCGTCGTCGTGGGTAAGACGAGCGCCGGCGAAGACATCAAGGCTCTGTCGAAGGGGCCTATCCATGCGGTCTGCCTGCCGATGACCGACTCCGAGGCGGACGTACGGCACTTCGCGAAGTTGGATAAGGTGGAGGTGGCCGCCCCGTCACCCTCAGCTTCGGGGAAACCGTCGCCGAAAGGTTCCCCGCCTACCGTGGCGCGCAACTTGGACTTGACAGAGGCTGTCAGCGGTATCACGAGCGTGACGGCCACATCGCTGGCGAAACTGACCAGCGTGTTCAAGGACGTCGATGTCGTCAGTCTTCTAACGGTGCCGAACTGGGGCCTTGGGCAGCCTGGAGACCAGCCGGGCATCTTGAGCGGCGCTGTTCCTTCCGCCAAGGCGGTCATCGAGGGTGTCGAGGAGATTACGCCGCAACTGATGGCTTTGGGGTATGCGACGGGCAAGTCTATTCTCCCCTCGCATGATGGCGTCTTCCCGCCCACGGATCGCATGTCCGTCCTCACTTGTACGTGTGTATGCGTACTCTGCATCGTCCATCCGGTTGACAGCACTTTTCTCAGACTGGTGGGGTCTTGAGCTCGTCGTTCCCGAGCCCTCCGTGAAGTTCCTCAGTGTATGCATCCTTCCTCATAAGCATACGTCTGCTGACGCACGACTCTACAGAATGCCCCATCTGTCGCGCACACCGTCGTCAACTTCCTCACCGCGCTCTCGGTGGGCAACGGCGGCGTGGCCGAGATCCTCCCCTTCGTTCGCTACTTCTCCACCTACATCGACATGGAGTTCAACCAGATCCGCTCCCAGGACAAGGGCAAGGGCGTCGTCTGCGCCGCAACGTGGATCATGCCCGCCGCGCTCGTACCCCGCCCGTGGGACTTTCCCGAACCTCCCGTCAACCCCTCTCCTCCCCCCTCAGCACCCTCAGCGCCGGCGCCAGGAGCGGGCGCAGTCGTGCCCACGCCCTCGCTCCCGACTCACGATAGTGCGCCCGTGCTCGTCGCGCCCCTTGGAGCCGCGGCGATCACGTCTGAGAGTGTGCCGGGAAACCAGGAGCAGGGTGTGCCCGGGGTGACGGTGACCCCGCCCACGCCTCCTGCCTCCGAGTCGCTGATCAAGTCAGTGGGAGCCGCTGCGGCAGGACTCTCTGAGGAGGCCGCGGACAAGGTGGACGAGAACGGGATCGCTGCCGTCGGCGAGGCTGGGGCGAAGCCCGGGGTGATGAACGGCGTTCCTGTCGCCGCGGTGTCGGCCTGAGCGTGGACGGCTGTGCGTTGCTATACCGTCTTTGCGCTCGTTTTGCATTCTATCTTGTTGGACTATGAGGGACTCTTACAGCTGTATGTTTTTGGCGTTTCGCAGTCCATACCCTGGCGTTGTTCTCCGCTATCGTTATACCTCACCCGTCTTGTGGAATCTCATCACGACCAGTAATGACCTTCATTGGTGTCTCACGTTCCTTCTTTCTTGCGATACCCTTCCTTACGTTTAGTCATAGCAGGATCCTGTATGTATCGCAGTCGCGCAATACACGTTTAGTCATGGACATACGAGCTTCGGCGTGCACGTTAGGAGCACAGCAGTGGCGGGGCTGCCATAACGCACTCAATTGTATAGTATCAAGCATAGTTGACCTGGCTGAGGCCTAGGTAATCCAAGCTACAGGAGGTGACTAGGCTACACGATACGATGACATTCGCAGGCCCTGATAATACAACAGCTAATCGCACAGCAGCTACAACGATCGCTAGTCCTTCATCGTGCTCTTCAACTTTCGCAGATGTACGGTCTCCAAGGTGTGAAAACGCAGCAGAATGCGGTCGAGATCACCGATCGTCGATCGATGAAGCTCAACTACGTCTGACGCCCTATGTCTTCTGGATCCTGATCGTTACTGGATCGTGACAGTACTGTCGGGCTCTGAACAAGCAAGTCAGCGCCTAGGTTATCTGACGTTCTAGGGCCTGTACTGAACGCCTCAAGGAGTCCGATCTGCGCCTCGAGGGCCCCAGGGAAGGGTATCGTTCTGGGACTACCACGAGGCGACAAGAGGCGCGCGGAAACCACAACGGGGGGGGGGGGCTGGACAGAAGGGGTAGATGGACTTACCGATGTAGTCGATGACGCTGCCCTGGTAGGACTGGAGTTGCTGCAGGTACGATTCTGGGATAGTTGCGGAGAAGCCCTGAGAGGAGGTGCCATGGGTCAGGGCAAGTGACGTCTCTGCGGACTGCAGCGGGTCATGCATACCTTGAGAAGAGTGTCGAAGTGGTTTCCGACCTCGCCACCTGCGTGAACAGATGCGATTATGAGCTGAGAGGTTACACCACGGTATCACGGGGCTACGCACCGTTCGCGTTTACCTCGTCCGCGTACTTCTTCACGTCGTCTTGGCTGACGCTGTCCTTGAAAACGACGATGTACCCTGGGTGGACAGATATCCGCGGAAGCTGTCAGTAGCGGGCATCTCAAGGCGCACGGGTGACGCAATCGGTCGAGTACTCACTGCCGGACATGATAGGATCGTGATGTGTGGGAGGTGGTGGTTGGTGTTTGAGGTGAGGAGACGAATCCCAGGGCGGCAGAGTATATATGCGGATGAAGGCCGGAATCCGGGTTAGAGGCCGGATAGAATGCAAAGGAGGTACCAAGCCAGGGACGGCTTCTACAAGAAGGGCGGTCTGATGAAAGGATCGGCTGAGCTCCGGCGCAGGCCGCAGCCCCCGCGCGGGTGGCGCAGTCGACGCGGGCGGCGGCACACGTGATCCAAAACGCGTAATTACGCGCCACCAGCGCGCGACGCGCGTAGTAGCGCCAGCGCGGTTCCGTCCCCGACGGTTTGCTGACTCCCTGCCGCCTTACGTTGTGCCGCATAGCTGATTCAATGTCACCAGTGCAAGGTTGAACTTCATCTACAACTGTGCATGAGACATTCACTTGGGTTGCTTTCGCTCAGTCACGCAAGACGTCTTATCCACAACAAGACTCCCTCGTTCACCACACTTGTCAGATTCTCAGACCATCACCACTGCAACGTCAAGAAGACTTCGCTCAACATGCGCATAACCCGCTCGGCCACTCGCATGTCTACTGCGGTGGACGCTAATGGCACCAAAGTGCCCGTCGAGGAGACCGTGACGGTGGTGCCCAAAACCAACGGCAAGAGGGCAGCAAATACAGAGCTTCACGAGCCTCCCAAAAGGGCTCGCGCTACCAATCCGTCATCAAACACTCCTGCGGAAGAAGAAGAGACAACAGCACCGGTCCCTCGTGCCCCCACGATACCTATCACCCCCAAACCCGCCGCAGATGGGGAAGAGCTTGTCCCGGCAGTACTCACCTTCTCGTTCGAGGTTGCGAAGAACCATCTCATTAGCGTGGACCCCCGGTTCGAAGAGATGTTCAAGAGGGTGTCATGCAAGCCTTTCGAACATCTTGAGAGAGTGGACCCCTTTCGGTGCGTGTACACTCCTGTAACATAGCCTAGACCTGATATATAGTCTCTACCAGGACACTATGTCATTCTATCTTGTGAGATCGTCATTCCGTCCCTTTCGCTGTTCTCGGCTGGGCTTTGCGTAAGGTTCGAGTTTCCTTTCAAACACGCTTGCGGCGGCTATAGGCCATAGGTCGGCGAAGTGTCTGGGCCTCTCTGTGGTCGAACCCCCGTCGGATTCGAGCACAGGATTGACGAGCCCTTCGCGTGCGTACCGGACAGCAATGAGGACGATGCTGGTTCATGAACTTGGCCAGAATCTTCGCGGCGTCTCTGTGCCATACTTGCCTCTTGCCTGGGACGCGTGCGGTCATTCAGCGGCGCCAGAATGCAGAACCCGGGAAGCGAGATCGTGACTAGTGCGCTTCGCTCTCAGGGAAGGCTGCTGGCGATTGAAAATCCTCCCCTGCGCAGGCATAGGTCGAGTTGTGGCAGAGCCGTCGAAAACGCGAATGTCCGGGGCCCAGGAGGGCAGGGAGAATTTACGAGTGAATATTCGTGGCGTCACGTTCTCTCCCATCTTCTCGACGCAGCTTCCGCCGCGTAACGCAGGAACAGTACCTGCGTTGCACTGTGCCAAGATGCACCGAGATAAGGTCGCATGTGCGTCTTGAGTGACAGTCATTCGTCCTTGCGTGTCCTTGACTCTTTTGCTGATTCATTCGCTCACGTCGCGCCTTCGCATGACGGGAGGTGTACTGACACTGTCATCCGTTGACCAGGGGGCAACAAATTTCTTGGAAAGCGGCGAGAGCGATCACACACAAATTCGTGCGCCTATTCGACCCATCAATCCCCGAAGACGTGTCGGAGAGCCAGTACGTGTCTCCTCGAGCTAGCCGGTGTGTTTGAAGCGCTGATTGCGCGGTCTTCGGTCAAAAGGTCCGACTTCTTCCCCTCGGCGCATCAAGTGATCGCCAAGGACGTAGCAACGCTCAGGACTGCTGGCCTGAGCGGTCGGAAGGCCGAGTACGGTGCGTCATTGGCATCTGTGGTGTAGGAAGGCAAGTCTGATGTTGACGTCTGACACACGCAGTCCTTGACCTCGCGGGCAAGTTTGCTGATGGGACCTTGTCGACGAGAAAGCTGCTCGAGGCCGACGACGAGGAGCTCCACAAGATGCTCACTGCAGTGCGGGGGATTGGGACAGTAAGCGTTCTTCTTGCGGCCGCCGAATATGAATGGTTGACTGAGGGCCGTTCACTTCACCGCAGTGGACCGGTATGTCTGCTAGTGGCGTAAATGCGACGGAAGCCTCTGAGCGCTGCTGTAGTTGACATGTTCGCCATGTTCTCTCTCCGCCGACCGGACATCCTCCCCGTTGGCATGTTTTATTTCTGAATGTCTTGAACAGGCATAGCCTGACTTTTATTGGAATGGTCAGGGGATCTGGGTGTCCAACGTGGTATGCTGCGGTGGTTCATATCCCTGCACTCGCCATCGCATGCGGTGTTCATCAGACAAGACAAGCTGAACGACCAGGATACCACGGATACTCAACTTACCGCAGACAGCGGGACCAGTCAAGAGATCAGCCAAAGTCAGAATGAAGTCAGAGCAACGACTGCCCACGCGTCCGCCCTCCCGGCAGCTCCGGACGCCCTCTCCCCTTCTGTTCAGAACAAAAAAGGGAAGGGGAAGGCCGCGAAGGAAGCGGCCGTAGAGGCCGATACGGGCATGGTTCTCCCCCCTGCATTCACGCCGTCGATCAACAAGACACTGAACATGCTCGGGAACCCGGACGAGGTCGGGATAGGATTCGAAGTCCCGCCTCTGCCGGAGGGTCTCACTGTGGCACAGATGAAGACTCGGTTGACCGGGAAGAACAAGATCAAGTATGTGTCCTTCGTCTAGAATGCCGACGACTTCGTGTTCCTGACAGGTTACACGTAGGGGGGCGCTGTTAACCCCAATGGAAATGGAGGCGCTCGCAGAGAGCTGGAGGCCGTACCGCAGCCTTGGTGCGTTTCCGTACCGTCCTGGAGTAGTCGTATGACGTGTTGATGACGGTCAAACCTTGGAACAGGAGTGTATTACATGTGGGCACTGTCGGAAGAGCCTAAGTGACCCTGTATTGTCGGAGTATTTATGCACTGCTCCGTGCTCGGCTATTATAGCTTTCGTCCCCGGACTCGAGTAAGCCGGCGGCGCGCTGTCAGAGGAGGATATTTGTGGGTCTGTGATACAGTGCCACGAACGGCGACGTCGAGAACGAACGATGTATGCAATGTTGCCTTTTATATAACGTAATGCGATCTGACGTACTGAGACGAGATCTGCGTTTGCGATTGCTGTGGCTAGACGCGCGCGCCCTTACCTTGTCCCGCCGTCTTCTTGTGTTTGTTCGTGGTCTTCCCGCAGCTCCATCTGGATTTCATCCCTAAGAGTTGAGCAGCGCAGACGTGTATGCGCTCATATGTCGTTATCTCGCCCACGATGATTTCCCAGGCGTGTTTTCCCGCGACAGTGACGGTGGCATTGACGCTTGTCGATGTTCTATCGACGGACCATCGAGGAGTATCCAGGCGATCGACAGTTCCCTCAACGGGCTGCCACGCTCAGCCTTTTCCCCGGGCGTGCAGAGCTGGGCCATCCGCGTGGATGAGATCAGCCACACGCACACGGACGCAATGGACACGCTGGAGCGGATAAACGTGTCGACAAGGAGTGTGATGTTGACAGCTAATGAAGGCGATCGGGCGGTGGCTCATGCTCTGCTTCTTGTCCTCGAGTGGCCGCTTCCCTGTTCGGACGTCATTCGTCCCCTTGGTTCGAATAAATACCCGTCACACAGTGTTCAGGTTCTGCCCTTGTCGTCCACCCCCATCCTCTATCCTCCCTGTGCCACCTTCCCCGCTCCCTCGCCATGCTGAATACGGGCAGCACCACCCTCGCCCGCATCCTCCCAGTCTCGACTCCTTTGTTTGGCGCGTTTTCCCCGTCGTCGGACTCCGGAGATATGTCCTCGGACGATGGAGACAGTTTGCACACTCCCCTCACAGAGCACCACGACCATCGCCTACATTCCTGCGATATCTGCGAACAAGCCCATTTCTCGCGGGAAGCGTACCATCCCTGCGACACCGATCGAATGGCGGACTCGTACTTTGACATTCGGAAGGTCCGCTATAGCCCCAGACCGCACCAGGATCGTTCGTCCTACCGCGCTTCTGCAACCGACGCAGAACATTCTCACGACTCCATCTTCTCCGACCTCTCGCCTTCTCGCCCTCTCAGCATTCCAGACGGGTCGCGGGAAACGACGTGCTTCCCATCGCCCACATATTCTTCTCGTGCCCTAGACCCGACTGCGTCACCCTTTACCCCGACGCGCCAGACACTCCGTCCAAATTCGCCCGCGTTTTCCACATCCCCGTATCTTCTCCCCGACGCTTCTCCGTCGGGCGGCAGACTATCGTCCCTTCCTTCCCTGACATTGTCCAATATCGGCTGCGACGATTCGGACGATCCTCCATCGCTTCTTCTCTCGCCCGCACGTGTGCACGACGATAGCGCCCCATCCTTCCCTGCGGAAGATTACCTGAATGAGGACTCGGTGCTCTGCAAGGGGCGCCTGTACTCTTCACGGTTCCACCCGGAGCACGTTCTCAACCCCTTTTTCGTGCAGCACTATCACCTCCAGGACGAGCTGGGCGCCGGAGGCTATGGCTTTGTCATGACGGCGCGCCATCGTATAGAGGGCCATGAGGTCGCAGTGAAGTTCATAATCAAGGAGAAGGTGCCAGAGCACGCGTGGTGGGAGGACGACGTGTTTGGGCGCGTCCCCACGGAGGTCATGCTCCTCAGCCTCGTGAACCACGAGAACATCGTCAAGTGCCTAGACCTGTTCGAGGACGAGGTCTACTTCTACCTGGTGGGTGATCCGCGACATGTGCCCACGATTGGAAACCTAATCCCTCCCCACGATTACAGGTGCAGGAGCTCCACGGTACCCCGTGGGTCTCCAAGAAGCAGAAGAAGGGGAAGCAGACGTCCGCCCCTGGGAAGCTTGCTGTACCGACCCCTGTGACGACGCCGCTGCTGTCTCCATCCGCTTCTATTGCGTCGATGCTTGACTCGGAGGGGCCGCGTACACCACCGCAGTTGTCGGGCAACTGTCAGCTTCCGCTCGGGAAGCCCGTCGGCGCGGACGTCCAGAATGGTTTCGGCGAGGAATTGCTTAAGCTCCCTCAGGACGCTCCTCCTAAGTTCACGCGCCGTGCCTCTCATGACCTTTTCGAGTGCATTGAGCAGAGCAAGCACAAGCGGTTGTCAGAGAATCAGGCGCGCTACGTCTTCGCACAAGTCGTCGAGGCGGTGTACTATCTCGACAGCCAAGGTATCACTCATTGCGACATCAAGGACGAAAACCTTGTGGTCGACTCTGACTTGCGGGTACGTAACGTTGTGCGACGTGAATGTGTCAAGCTCCGCTCACGCCGACGTGATCTAGGTCAAGCTCATCGATTTCGGCAGCGCAGTTGTCGCAGATCCCACGAAACCTCGTCCAACATACCACTTATTCTTCGGAACAACAGCCTATGCATCCTCGGAGATCCTCTGCAAGCAGCCGTATAAGGCGCCTCCTGCAGAGATCTGGACGCTCGGAGTCCTCCTCTCTTACCTTCTCACCGGCCACTCTCCTTTCCCGACCGAGCAGGACGCGAAGGAAGGTCGCGTCGTCGTCCGGGAGCCAAAATCGGGTCGTATCAGCAAGTCCGCGATTTCTCTCATGCATAGGTGCCTGGAGAAGGACCCCCATGTTCGTGCGGATATACTCGAAGTACGGAACCATCCCTGGTTACAGGGTGCGCTCGAGAGTCGCGGATGCGATTGAGCGTTCGTAAGCACATCAGCCGTCATCGACGCATGGACGCTCCATTCGCACTATCACGGCCTTTATGACGTCTTGCGACGAGTTTATGATCTGCGTCCGCTCTGGCGGCGGCGCAAGGACATGGAACGGACTTGGACATATTCTTATTCCTTTTGTTTTTGTCTTCTCTTCCATCCTACGCCGCGATTCTGATATGCAATCTCGCTCTCCGCTACATACCGTCCCTATCACCACATTCCTTATGTTACACACCATACCCATGCAGTCATCCCGTACAAGCGCTTCTCTACCGCATCATCTCCATCTTGCATATCACACAGTCATTCGTCATGCGGTCGCCCGCATACATAGCGTAGCATTATGATACCACTCATAAGTTCGCCCCAATCCCACCCTTTAAGTTTTGTAGATCGTAGCCGTACACTAATCCTTGTGAAGCTGCAAGCTTAATATGTTCCATTACGTCGTTAGCTTTTAGGTTCCATCACTACCAAAGCACCCATGTAACAACTTCGAGCATGTAGTTCAGGCGACCAGATGAATGAGTAGAGGTTGTGTTGACAGGCAGAGTCCCAAATATAATGAATTTGAGAAAACGGCTGCAGGGCTCGAACGTATTGGGAGACGCCCGGAGGATTCCGGCACAGGGTTGCTCCGTGTCAGCCAATCATAATGCGCGCTTAGCAAACACTTCCGCTCATCGTCACTGACGGTGAGCTCAGCTTGAGCCTTTCCGTCCCGCCATCACCATGTCGCTCTCTCATTTCCACTCAGCGCGTACGTTTGCACCATCTTTTCCCTCTTCTAGGTATGTTGCTCACTGTTCCCTCTGCACAGTTGCGAACGCTGGTCGGCGAGCAGCTCTGCGACCCCAAGTTGGTGTCTACGGTAAGTTGGCACATATCCTGCATCGCTGTATGTGCTTACAAATTGTACCACTCTCGCTCAGCTGCACGCCAGCTTCACTCATCACAACGTGCCTCTTCGCCCTCTACGATACCTACGGACTCTACCAATCCGGCTGAGCCTATCACCCAAATTGCGAAGCGCGGCTCGAACCAGCTGAGCTTGGAGACTCCCTCGAACAAGGCGGAGTATGTCCTCTCGACGCTGGACAAGATCGCGAACTGGGCACGACAGGGTTCCATGTGGCCCATGACGTTCGGTGCGCACCCGCGTTCGTCCTTCCACGCCATCTCAGAAAGGCTCACTTCCGTTTTGTCCCCCCTATTGCCTCGAACCCTATTGCTTCCCGTGTTCGCGGCGCCCAGGTCTTGCGTGCTGCGCCGTAGAGATGATGCACATGGCCGCGGCGCGGTACGACCAGGACCGTCTGGGCGTCGTGTTCCGTGCGAGTCCTAGGCAGTCCGACATCATGATTGTCGCGGGCACGCTGACGAACAAGATGGCCCCCGCGCTTCGCAAGGTTTACGACCAGATGCCCGAGCCTCGTGAGTCTCTTCGTTCATACCTCATCAGACGTCGGAATTCGTGTCTTCTGCCTTCGAAAGATTCGAGGCGCACTGAGCCCGCTCCTGGAGATGGCGAGCAGAGGATCCCCACCTTGCGAGGAGGGTGTTGTTCGGTGACATTGGTTCGCCGCATCTCATCTTCAGTTCGTAGACGCAGAAAGGCGGGGGTAATGAAACGTGTCTTCCCAGCATAGCATGGAAGGCTGGTTCATTACGCCATTGGCCATCCAGTTCAGTGAGGAAGGCCTGCTTGGTCACGAGTCCGACGTCCGGAAGAGGCCTGCGCTACCATACCTTGTCAGTTACTGATTAGTGTACACAGGATGGGTGATCTCCATGGGCTCATGTGCGAACGGTGGCGGTTACTACCACTACTCATACTCAGTTGTTCGCGGATGCGACCGTACGTGTTTCATTGATTATGAATGTCGTGTCTGTTGAGATATTCATGCGCGGCCCACAGGTATCGTCCCGGTCGATATCTACGTCCCCGGTTGCCCCCCGACAGCCGAGGCCTTGCTCTACGGCATGCTCCAGCTCCAGCGCAAGATGCGGCGGAGCAGGAAGGGCGTCCTCTGGTGGGTTTCACGTGCATTAAGATTGTTCCGTCCGAAGTTGCTGACCTCGAATTACTCCAGGTATCGGAAGTAGTTTAGCCCATGGATAGACTAGTTTATCAGGGACCATTCTTACTACTATTTCCTATTGAGTTGCAGAATGAACGATATTCGAGCCCTGTCGTTTGCTGTCGGCAAGACGTGGCGTGAGACGCATGAGCTGATATATGTACCGGCTGGATGAATCAATGTGTGATTCGAACATGAGGACCCGGAGATTGTGGGGTTGTTTGAGACCGGAGCTCCCTATTAGATCTAGCCAAGAGGGCGTGGCACTTGGTCGCCTAATAAGGAATGCGGGGGGTTGCCGAACGACCGACACTGGCCCTCGCCGTCGTCCTCGCTGCTTCTGCCCTTGCCTTCAGCATCTCTCTCGTTCACCTGCTCGGCGACACTACACTTGCGCACCTGCTCACGGTCCCGGTAGAGCAGCGAGCGAAGTGCTTAGTAGTGCGCTTGTTCTTTGTCGCTCATCAACGTAATATTCTCCTTCGGGCTGTGTTCCCCGCCTCGTGCTCACCCATCAACGCCCTTCAACCGTCGCATTTTCCTCGTTTTCGCATTTGAGTGCGTCGTTTCCTAGGTCCCCCCCCCCGTCATGGCGACCGCCGTGCACCTTCCCCCACCAGAGACTGCTGGCTCCCCACTCAACGAGGTTCACTCCCATTCGCAATCGAACAGCTACTCTTCGAAACGGCTTACACTGACGGACTTCGACCTACGTGACGATCGCTATCCAAGTCTCCCTTCTGTCAAACCATCAGCCATCTCCTCTTGCCCCGAGTCCAGCGGCGTCGATCCCGCACTTGACGCGGGCATGACAGCAGCACTCCGCGCCAGTTACGACAAGACACACAGGCCCGATACCTCAACCTCCGCGAAATCATGGATCGGTGAGAACATCACCCAGGAGCCTGCTCACTGGGATCCGGCGCAAGAGGATCCTACAGCTGCCGTCCTCGAGGTGCAGTCTCAGTTGCCCAACGCCAGGGAGTCTCCACGAACTGCCGGGAACTCTGCTGTCGACCCGTACCTCGTAGACGAACCGGCCACGAACGACGCTGCACCTGGCGATCCTGCACTTGCAGCCTCGGTCCCCCTTCCCCAGTCGCCTGATATGGGACAGCGGATGTCGCTTCCTAGACCATCAGGTGACCAGTACAATGTCGCTGCACACACCCCTTCCCACCACACTACCAACCTACCGTTCCCTCCCGGTGCCAGTCTCGGTGGTCCGTTTCTATCCCCTGGAGCGACTTCTTCGCCCCGCCACCCTTCGCTCCCGGGTGCTGGCAACGGCGCTAGCTTGAACGCCGCCCCAATGGCACCTATTGTACCACTTTCTGCTGGCCCTACCTACAATCCCTCCACGATGCAGATTCCTATCTCCCCTAAACCTCGGGCATATGCGCAACATCCGACGTATATCACACCCTCTCCGGCTCCTGCAATGCAGCCCTCCTTCTCGCCCCCGCAAGTGCCGAAAGAGGAGGTTTGCGTGGAGTGCGCCATGCGGGACCAAGATATGGCGGACGTGGATGTCACGAGTCCCGGGGTGTGGGATCGAGAAAGCGACGTTCTTTATGAGGAGTTGTGCCGGCGTGAAGAGGAAGAGGAGGCGTCGGGTGGTGCGTCCTCGGATAACCATTCACGACCGCGAGCGAAGGGCGGGAGGTTGACAGAGGAGAATCTCAGGTTCTGGCTGAGCATCGTGCGTCGTGTTCCATCATCGCCTTGAGAGCTGTCGACTGATGTTCGTTTAGAACCCCAAGGAACCGTCGTCCCGCCAGCAAACCCTCGACCAATACGTCAAGTCGCAACGGCAGCTCCTAGAGGCAGACGCCCTGGCCCGTGCACAGGCGCTGCGCGAGTCTCGGCTGCTTGACGAGAAGATGCGCGATACCTTCTCTCAACTCCGACGATCAGCGTATGAGCTCGGTAATAGCTCAAGTCCAGCGGACGATTATGGCGCGCTGCGTATCAAGACCCCGCGCGCAGGTTCCATTCCTTCCGCCTCTCCAGCCCAAGGCCATTCCCGTGAGGTTACGCTCCTGGAAAATGGCATGATCATCGAACATGTCGACCTTCGGAAAGAGGAGAAGGAAGAGCGGGATAAAAGGCGCAAAGAGGAAAGGCGCGAGAAGAGCCGTGCGCGCAAGTCTTCTCGGAGTTCCCGCTCTGCCGCGGATGTTGCATCGGTTTACTCCGCGCCCCTCGCCAGCCCGTTGCCACACGTGGACAGCGGATTTTTCTCTAATCATCGCGATTCGCGGTACTCTCAGACCTTCTCCCTTCGGCCTAATAGTGTCCTCGCCGTTGGTGGGGAACGCCCGCAGACGCTGCTTCGTGCTCAGTCGCAAGCGTCGTTCTCCGAGGTGCAGAGTGTCGCCTCCTCTCCGAGGCGGTCCCGGTTCTTTGGCTTCAAGAACCTCAGTGCTGCCTGGCACAGTCGGGATAGTATGGCCCCTACCACGGGTAGCATGATGGATATGCAGTGCGTGCGACGCCTTCTATCATGGCTACCTCAGCTCATAGTGACCTATTCTATATAGCGTCGCTTTGCAACAAGAGCGGCAGTACTTTGCTGCGCATCCTTCGGCGATCGACCTTAGCAGTAACGCTCCGACTTTACGGGCTTCCCAGTCTTGGCCTCGGGCGGTGACCTCGCCAGAGCCGGTCGGTTCGACGGCGCCAGCGTCCACCAAGAAGAAGAATGGCCTCAAGAAGATATGGAAGCTGGTTACAGGAAGTTCCAAATCCGCGTCAAAGGGTGTCAGTCAATCACGATCCGTGGATAGACACGAGGATGACGCGCCGCTGGCACCACCTCCGCCGCTATCATATCTTGTTGACCGTGAAGGTGCTGGAAGACGGCACGTCTCCACACCTTCCTTGCTATCGTCTGTTTCGCCCAATCAGTTCTCGCAATGGGCTTCTTCGCCGCCAACGGCTCCTTCCAGTGCTCTGCCTTCTCCGACATCGTCGCGTTACCCCGTTCCGGATAGAGAGCCAGGCGGTGAGCACCTCAAGGACCAACCTATACCAGAGATGGTTGTTCCGGAACACCGCATATCGACATTCGAGCTCGGTCCATCTAACGACGGGACGCCAAATGAGGTTGAGCCGCGGGGCCGGACCACACGCAGCTCGTCACGCACGCTGTCCAGTCTTGGACCTCATGCGCCCGGTGTGTCGACCCCCGCTGCTCGGCCCCAGTCAGCCGTCATTATGCGGCGCGACAAGTCCCTCCCTCCTCTTCCAGGGGATGTTAGGGTTGATTTCCCTTCTCATCCTGTCCCCGAGAGCCGTCCGCAGACGATGTATGACCTCCTCCAGACTCCATCCGGTCCTACAAGCCGCGGTCTACTTCCCCCTCAGGCGCCGTTCCGTACCCCTGAGGTAAGACGGCAATCGTTTGGTGGTATGGCCTCAACGCCTCACCCTGCTGTGCAGAGTCTGCCTCTCCGGAATCCATACGCACGGGCTCCACTCAACGTTCCTCCCTACCTCACCGAGGAGAAATACGCTGAATTTGGCGCGTCAAGTCCGGCGTTGAACCAGTGGGGTCCTTCGGCAGACAGCAAGCGGTCGCTGACGACACCCGCGAAGCCAAAGCAGCGGCGCAGTAGGTTCGGCCTCGCATCACTCTTTGGGAAGAAATCTGGGGAGACGGAGCGGCCGGAGTCGGCAATGTTCACGAGCGGCCTGCCTAACGGCTCCATGGACCCGCTCGACTACAATCCGTACCGGTCGTCTGTGTCTGACCAGCGGGACGACCCCAGTATGCACGGCGTGGGTATGAGTGGTCCCGGGTCTTCCCACAGCAGCATGCCGAGGATGTCTGTTGTGTCGAAGAACATCGCTGAGCTGGTGGACCAGGACCCGGAATTTGTTGCGTATCGCTACCCATCCAGTGACCAGCGTCTAGAGGTTATGCGGTAGTCATTCTCGCACATCTTAGTTTGGTTCAGGTCCTTGGATTGGAATTCCACTATCGCCTGTGGTTGTATCGACCCGAATACCTTGCAATGCCCATACTCCCCTTCTAATGGTTTAAAACAGGGCCCCCCTCGGCCTTAGCTCATTTGCATCGTACTACTCACCCTCATTGTACGTATCTCACCATCGACCATTCGCTTCCTCCATGCCATACCGTGATCGCAAGCGTGCTGTTCACTAGACACTAATCCTTGGCATTGGTCCACTCGCTCTTCAATCACTCCATTCATCTCACCCGCATCTTCGCACGTCTCCCTACTCTGCTCAGCTATTGCTCGACTCCGAGTTACCCGTCGCTCACTGCTCCTGTACCTTTTGTCCGCCTCCTGTCGTCCGCACTCATTGCCTTCGTGTTGCATCGCTTTCGTCCCACTACCCACGACGTCAGCCGACGGACGCTCTCTCTTTTCACATCACCACTGCCTCGCATTACACGCCACGCCGCCCGCATATCGCACGGCATCTTTTGAATCTCTCCCACATCCATCTCCCTCGTTTCCTATGTAATCGTTGCCACCTGACCTGTCGCCGTTTATCTCTATTACACTATCGATGGTCGGTGTACGTGTACATCAATCAGAGCATTCTTAATTTGCCGCGTTTGTCGTCTCCTTTCTAATGTAGGCTGGGGTGTTTGGTGACCTCGTGGGCGAGATATTTAGGGCCTGTTCGGCAAAGAGTTGGAGTTAGAGTTACCGGCATTTCATGCCCAAATATAGTAATAATATCTCGGTTTTCGATTTCGAGAGAACTCGAGTTACTCGGGCGAGTGCATGCGTTCGGATGCCTCCCAGCAACTCCGGGCGGTTGTTATCAGCTCACGTCGTAATTTGTCTTGAGGCTCTACCCTTTTGGCAGCCTGCTTGATTCTCTCTGTATAGAGTATTGGGATGGCTATGATGACCGGTGTAGAATGTGATCAGACATCTGAGGCCATCCTACTTGAGGGATTAGAGCAGGCTACTACCAAGGCCTGCCCAGCCAAAATAATGACAGTTACTGCTATTATAGCCTGTCTTCGGCGCTCTATATGAGCCCGATGGATTGCTTGGTAAATTTTGACAGCTGCTCTTGTGTAGACCACGGTGAAGCAGGGATGAAGCAGAGCCCATCTGATAAGCCATAGCTATTGGTATACTAGATACATGTACGAGTTCAGGGCGCTTGTCTCCTCCGGATTTCACGGATACTCCGCTCCTGTAACTCTAACTCGCGCAGAAATTCTCGGAAGTGCCGCCACGTGACAAAATGCCGGTGACTCGTAACTCCAACTCTTTGCCGAACAGGCCCTAAGGATTTACGGCTCTACGGACGTCCGTAGATTTCTAGGCGGGGTTTGAAACAGTCTGTGGATCTTGGGCGCTAAACAGGCGGCATGTTCTGCTCATCATCAGCACGTGACTGGAGTGGCTTATGTCATGTCTGTATTTGGCATGCAGTTCGCTTTGTCATGATGGCTCCTTCCTTTCTC